TCAACGAAGACCACAATCCTATTGTTGCCTGCCGCATCACGCTGGAGACCACACACAAAGTCTATACTGATGGAATGCCACAACCCCGAGGATACAGGCAAACTTGCCAGGGGAGCAGCCATACTAGGCAATGGCTCCACCCTTTGACACGTCTTACACATGCGTATATATGTACCAACCCATTTATACAACTTGGGCCACAAATAATGCGTGCTCACCGAGCTGTAGGTCTTTTCACGACCAAAATGACCACCAAGTAGTGTATCATGAGCCTCATAAAGTATCTGATACTTGAGGTCCTCATCATGAGGCACCACAACACATCGCTGGTCATCCAACCCTCTATTATAGTACAACCGACCATCCGTCAGTGCATAACGATGTAATCTCGCACGATTACGTGGTGACAACATCACCTTAGAGTTTTCAAACTCTGCGCTACCCAGCGCCTGCAAAATGGCAACACATTCCTCATCGCGTGCATACACCACACGGATACGATCGGTTACTGACGAACTCACAACAGTGAGATGAGCAAGCTCATGGTCAGGTCTACGCGATAACGCATCAGCCAAAACATTCTGTTTTCCCGGCTTATACTTCACCTCGAAGGTATACTCTGCAAAAAAGGGCGAGCCAACGAGCCATTCTCTACGAGAGATGAGGAGACTGTGTCGCTGTGCGTATGACGCATGATCGGTATAGATCACAAACGGCTTTGAGCCCAATAGGTGTACCCTGAACTTAATAAGTGTATACTTCATCGCAAGTAGCTCCTTGTCATAAACTGGATAGTTCTTCTCTGCAGCTTTCAGCTGACGAGAATCAAACGCGATGACGCGTTCTCGACATTCGGCATCAACTTGCAAGAGCGCACTGCCAATGACAAATTCCGAAGCGTCACACACGACGCTAAACGGGCGATAGGATCAGGTAGAGCCAAAATTGGCGCCTGAAGGAGACTTTCCTTAATGGCTTCAAAAGCCTCGTGGTGTTTGGTGTTCCAACACCATTCCACATCCTTTTCAAAGAGATTTGACAATGGCCTAGCCACTTCCGCATAGTTGTGGCTATACTTGTGCAAGTATTTGCCAAATTCAACCACTTGCGAAGGTCTTTCTGGTGCCTCGGAACCGGCCAATCTACTATGGCTTTGACCTTAACAGGGTCTGCCCGGATTCCTCGCTTCCCAATGAAGCATCCCAAAAAAGGGAATCTCTTTCGCATCGAAGATGCATTTGTCACTATTGGCATACAACTTATGCATCCTCATGCAACCGAGCACAGCTCGCAGGTGCTCGATGTGATTCTCCACATCAGTCTTGACATTTTCGGCTCGACTATGAACGAATATATTGTCAAATTATGTCTGTGCATACGCCCTATGGGGTCGAAAAAACTGCGTGACATGACGATCGAACATTGCAGGTGCGTTAGACAGCCCTTGGGGCATCACTAACCACTCCCAGAGCATACCGCTAGGAGTACTGACCGCTGTCAGCGGGATATCACTAGCTCGCATGAGCAGTTGGTAATATCCATCGACTAAGTCGAGGGCACTGTACATCGTACATCCCACCATATAGTTCTGAAGAACATCCTTGCGAGGAATCGGTATTTGATCCGGGGATATTGGCTGCATTCAGCTTATTGTAAGCATGCACTATTCGCCACTTCCCATTAGGCTTTTTCACACAAAACGTGGACGTAGAGTGAGGAGACTTACACTCACGCACCATGCCAATCGCGTGCTTTGCACGAAAGAACTCGTCAATGACGTCACATTGTTCTCGTGGCAGCGGCCACTGTCGCGTCACACAGTATTTGGTTTCTGAACCAAGTCAATTTCATGACGTACACCTCTATCCGGAGGTAACCTCGTCGGAGGTTTTCTGGAGACAACATCTCCACATTCTTTCAAAGAAGTAAAATAAGGATCCGAAGGGTCCTTCGGGATCTGTGATCCACTACGCGCTTTCAGCGCCTTCTTGACGCCTTCAAGAACTGTTTTATCCAAAAGATATGAGGAGTTCAACTCCTCCTCAAGTCGTATAACCACCACTTCAGCGATGCCGCCTGCCTGTGAGGCATTGCCAAACTCGGCAAAGGACAACCCGTCCAGCTCTAACAGAGCACTTACTGTGGGTATGGCTGAAAGATCCACCGACTCTTCAACATCCAGTCAAACCATTGACGAGTGTACATAGCTGCTCGATATCACCGTCACTCACGATGTTAGCATCGCTACTTTCAGCATCTGACGCATCAGCATCCACAGTTGTACACACCTCAAGGTTATAAACATCATTCCGTTTGCTGACCGCATCCTACACTCTTGGGTCGATGCCTCGTCATGAGGTGCTTGCACCTTGTTGTCCTCGAAGACAACATCCATTTGTGACTTCACCCGGCCCTTCAGGGTCAGTACCTCGTAAAACACTCATGTCACTCGGGCTCTTGTCCTGACATCTTGCAGCCAACAACACCACTCACGGTGTTTAATGATGTAACATCATTCTCATGACACATGTCATATGCGCCATCTAGTGGGTTCTCAACCACACTATCGACATTCATTGGGCCTTGCCCAGGACTATTATCCTCGACACTTACAATGTCTACAAAGTCGGATATTCCGACATCCAGCATATTGACCGACTCGGTCCAATATCCGCGCCAAAAGCGTTTTTGCTTCCTAGCAGAGGTGGGTTCATGACTTTCCAGAGCCACACCAGGAGCATTGCGCGCACCTAAGGTCTTCGACCTCCAATCAATCCATGGCTCATAACGTTCTAGCCAAGCCATGCCTAGGATGAGGTCATACCTCGCATCCAGGTCTAAGACCAAACAGCGTTCCATGCTGTTAAAGTCAAGCATCTTACGTCCATCGAGACTTTGGGTACCGTAACTTCTTCATCCTCTACTGACTACAGTCCATGGGAACAGACCCATCAGACGAGTAATTATAAGTGGCAGGCCTAGCGGCCTTAAAGTTGTCTCGGCATTCCATGCCACTCCAACAGTTTTCTTAAATGAGGACGAGTTTACCCGAAAGACTTCCGTTCTGGCAACGCCAACTAGGAGGCCCTCCATGAAGACCGTGACGGTCACTGCCTCAGGCATAGGGTCTATGACCACGGCAGCAATACGAGCTTCAACGCTTGCACATATGCCGCAAGCTCACGCTTGCCTTGGCGACACGCCAAAAACGCGACCGATTACGGTGTGCTTGACTTGGCGGCGCATACTGACGGGTCATCTGAACTTTCAGATCGGCCCATGTGGGAAAGGCATCTTGCAATGATGCATTACATGTGAATGCCCACTGTTTGGCTAATCCACTTAACTTGCCCGTGGCAAAGCCCACACGGTACGGGTCATAGGTGATGTCGGCTATAAACATAGCCGACTCAACCTGTCGGAACCAAAGCATAAGGGTGTCACCTTCTTTGCCGACGAACTTGTCGACTTTCATATGTGTGGGTTTGGTCTGCGGAACACTTCTTGCGCCATAGTCGCCATGGGAGAAGGCGCAGAAGAAGGCATCTGTGCCTTTACATGCTCGACTATAGCTTTATTATATTCGTCAAGTATATAAATACTCTTGTTAATCTCTTCTTCGCCCTGGGCTATGAGGTACTTCACGTCCTCAGGGCCAAGGATAGGGAGCAGCTTCTGCAACCCTTCCTGTTGTGCCTGTGACAGGCCAACCGTTGACATCTCGTTGATGTCCATTCTCACACAGAAAAGTAGTCGCGAACCCAGGTGCGAGATTGACTACAAGTGCTACCAGGTGTAGCCAAGCTACTGTAGCTACGCTATTTATACACTATGTGCAGAAGTAGTCAGACTACTGTAGCAAAGCTACGTATGCACTATGTGCAGAAGTAGTCTGACTACTGTAGCAAAGCTACGTATGCACTATGTGCAGAGGAAGACAAGCTCTGAGAGCTTCTACGTCTTAGGGTGCTTAACCCTCCCAGGCTAGCTCGTAAGCTTGAGCCTATCGGTTGTTGTAACCGCGTCTCAAAGAGACTAGTATCAAAGATACAATTCCTATACGGAATAGAACGCTCTAGCAACTAGTGCTATACAGAGCAGGTTTAAAACTGATTTATATTTATGTTTATCTTCTAACACTAAATATAGAAGCACCTATCCTATACTTAGTGCTAGTCACTCACTATTACTGGCTCTTTAGCCTTTTATTATTATGCAAATATGCTAGTCACTATACTTTAACTAAGTATAGCGACCACGTGGCTCTCTGCCACGATGTGACCCTTCGTACTTCAGGTACGGTCACATCACCTACTTTGTACCCAAGGTACAGCCACACCACATTGGTGTGGCAGGTGTGTATGTCAAATACACACCTTCGTGTAACCCCGTTACGGACGGCAATGGTTTGGCAGATGGAGGTCAATCAAGAGGACACTCATTGTATACGTGTATTCCAGTGCCGCGAACGTCATCTTGGTGAATCGGTGCAGGATCTTGCTCACAAAATTTACTTGGAGGAGCAACTGGTGCAAAATGGCTGCTAGGCTCAAGAAAACAACGATCGGGTGGGAGTTTTTATAAGCCGAAGACGGCTGACATGGTGGAAGAGATGCACACTGCCCAGATGAATTACCATCACCTTGTAGAGATCCAGCAGTTGAAATGAAGACAGACGCTGGAGGAGATACGTCCGGCGAGAATGGGTGACTGGCAAAGCTGTCACGAGACCTGAAGCTGAAGGAAGAAGAACCGCACAAACTACAAAAGAAGCAAAGCAATAGTAGCGGCTTTATGGACCAGAAAAAAAAGAACGAGATGCAGCTACGCGTACTAAACTCGAATTTTACGACTAGAAAGTCATTCAACTTCCGAGTTGTAATAAAGGCAAGTATTAATGACTGTCATCATTTTTCTACCAAGGGCCACTTTGACAAGCGTAAATGACAATGTATGGCGTACAACCTCCATTCTCAGTCCGCGATTGGCACAATAGGAGCTCATCTATCTATATACTCCGTCTTGGCATCCCGAGCACTTTTCACTTCAATGTACGCCCATCTGATCCACGGTAGCAGAGCCTCCAAATCCTTGGTCTCTACCGTGGCACCACACCAGATACGCAGTCCAGGTGGAGCATCGCGGTAGGAGCCTACGTCGTATGCGACTTGTTCTCGCTCCAGCAGCACCTGCATCTCCTTCACTTCTTCCTTTGACATACCATCAATCAGCAGGCAAACGGACGTGCTGGAGCGGATCTCCTTGTTGGCCGCGAGAAACTTGAACCACCTCGAGTTCTCGGTTGCAAAGACTTCGAGCACCTTCAAGTTGCGCTGCGAAATCGCAATCAGTCCATCCTGGCCACCCACGCTCTCAGCCCAACGCAGAGCGTCAAGATAATCTTCGACACACAGCATCGACGGCGTGTTGATGGTGCTACCCTCGAAAATGTTCTTTAGGAGTTTGCCTGTGCTCGCATCAGTCATGCGAAAGATCTTAGGAATTGGGCGGTTCTCCGGCACAAACGACTCCAAACGCACCACAGCGCGTGGACTCAAAATTATAACGCCGTGACCACCTTCACCGCCAAGCACCTTCTGCCAACTGAACGTACACACATCAATCTTGTTCCATGGAATATCCATGGCAAACGCAGCCGACGTAGCATCATTAAAGATCAGACCCTTGCGGTCGTCCGGAATCCAGTCAGCATTGGGAACACGGACACCACTAGTAGTACCATTCCACGTGAACAACACGTCGTGGTCACAATTCACTTGAGAAAAGTCTGAAATCTGGCCGAACGGCGCGCCAAACTCTCGGACATTTTCAAGCTTGAGCTCGGTAGTAACATCCTTAAACCACTGCTTGCCGAATGATTCCCAGTAGCATACATCCACAGGACGCTCCCCCAGCATACACCACATGGCCATCTCAAATGCACCAGTGTCCGAGGCTGGCACGATTCCAAGATGGTAGTCCTCCGGGAGCTTCAGAATCTTCTTTGAGCGCACAATGGCTTCCTCAAGCAAACCCTTGCCCAACTTAGAACGATGGCTACGGCCCAGAACAATGTCAGGAATAGAAGCAAGAAAATATCCCGGGCGCTTCTTGCAAGGTCCCGAGCCAAAATTTGGCGATGCCGGCTTTATGCGTGGTTTACGATGACGCATGATCTCCAGTTCAGCCTCTGTCTCCACGATATCTATTTCGTTCACAACAGAGTTCGTGCTCGGTTTGAGGAACTTCTCCCATATACCACCAGAGACAGCCGTGTCCAGCTCGAGCAGGTTCACGCGGCGAAGGTTGGTGAGCATGCCTAGTTCTTGAAGCTCCTCCACAACTGCGTCTGGAATAGCCTCGTCGACATTAAGCACGCCAACAGCAGCGGTGCCAAGTTTTTCACGTGCCAGACCAAAGCAGCCAATATTAATCTTGTGCTTTGCTAGCACCGACGTCACCTTGTGCAGCACACCAGGCTGATCCGTATTGTTAAACAACAGCATCGAGCCACTCGGAATGGCATCCATGGGAAGATCGTCGAAAGACACAAAACGCAGCTGGTCCTTGCCAAACACCGTGCCCGTGATCTTCTTCGACGTACCGTCCTCCTTCTCAAAGATAACAGTAAGTTGGTCCGAGAAGCTGCTGCCAGAGGCTTCGTCGTGCTTGTGCTCCACAGTTTGGATGCCCATGACGTCAGCTAGTTGTTTCGCGTTTGCAAACGTCACCTCCTCCTCCAGCATGTGCGATAGCAATCCCTTCATCACACCCTTTACCAGCTGTCCCGAGAGCTCAGACGATGTGACCTTGGGTCCCTCCGCAATGACAAGTACGCGCTTGAGACGACTGTCGTCCAGCAGCTGCGCCTGCATGCTGCCAAGCTTTTCGGCAAGTGACAGTAAAGGCATGAACTCCTCGCGCTTACCAAAATCAATGTTAGGCGCGTTAAGCACACCCTTAAAAGACTTGCCTGCTAGCGCGTCGTTTACCTTGTAAGCCAAATCACGCGCTACTTTCTTTTGTGCATCGGTAGTCAGCGCACCAATGTGCGGTGTCACAATCACATTCTCGTGACTCATGAGTTTCTTCCAAGTCTCCGACGCAGGCGACGGCGTGTTGATATCAAAGGCCATACCTGCAACCTTGCCGCTCTCGATAGCTTCCAGCAGCGCTGGGTGGTCAATCAGACCCGCCCGAGCTCCATTTACCAGCTTGACACCATCTTTGCACAGCGCTAGACGTTTCGCGTTGACCAAATGCTTGGTATTGGCGTTAAGCGGTACATGGAGAGTGATGTAATCACTGCGGGAAAAAAGTTCGTTCAATGACACGGGCTCAATGTCATGCATCTTGGCACTTGCTTTAGACAGAATAGGGTCATAGCCAATGACGTTCATGCCAAAGGCATTGCAGCGTAAAGCCACTTCTCGTCCAATGCGACCGAGACCGACGATACCAAGCGTCTTGCCATGGATTTCTGAGTTGCGCACAAGTGGTTCCGTGCTCGCAGTCTGACTGAGACGAGAGACAGTGGATACAAGACCTACTGTGAGTTCTGCAACTGAAATGGTGTTGCCAAAGGGCGCGTTCATGACCAGGACGCCCTGCTTCGTGGCGTTCACCATATCAATATTGTCAATGCCCGTGCCAGCGCGACCAATAAGCTGTAACTTGTTTGCAGCATCCAGCACTTGACGGTCCACTTTTGATCCAGATCTCATGATTAATACGTCATAATCAGGCACGTGTGCCACTAATTCAGCGTGTGAAAGTCCGACGGAGTTACACGTGACGTCGTGGCCAGCAGCGCGCAGCAGTTCAGGACATATGAGATCAATGGGATCACTACATAGAATACGTGCCATAGCGTATAGAGAGTGGTGGAAACCCCGTATACTCAGCGCCTTGTGCTGGAACAAGCGAGACCCGCGCATCCATCGAGCGCGGTGTAGCATGAAGGTAATGGAGGAAAAGGACGATTTAATAATACACTTTAACGTTTCTGATTGGTTCAGATATGGACAGAGAGAACAGCATTTCGACCAATCCATATGAAGTATCTATACCTCCTTTTGATTCCAGTCATTCTTACTTTCGATTAGAATGGTGCTGCTTTTATCACGTAAGAGCATACAAATGAGCCGTTTATTCCATATCATAGTGCGTCCTAGGAGTGTATCGAAGCTTAGTCTAAAGGAATTAGCACAACGTCAAAGTCTTAAGGGCGTGCGTGTATTAGTACGTGGTGATTTGAATGTACCATTAAAGAAGAAGAAGAATTCAATACTATCTGATATTATAACTATTACAGATGATACACGTATTCGTGCAATATTGCCAACACTTGAATTGCTTCACAAGGAAGGTGCTCGTACGATCTTATGTTCACATTTAGGACGTCCTAATGGTGAAGTAAAAGATGAAATGCGTCTTACACCTGTTGCTACACGTCTTAGTGAATTGCTTGGTATTTCGATTATTAAACTGAATGATTGTATTGGTCCTCAAGTAGAGACTAAGATTGATGCACTTAAGGACGGGGAGATTCTATTGCTTGAAAATGTACGTTTCTATAAACACGAGACAAAGAATGATCCTACATTTGCCAAGCAACTCGCACATGGTGCCGATATCTACGTGAACGACGCATTTGGCACAGCTCATCGTGCTCACGCTTCGACGGAAGGTGTAACCAATCATATTACGACTAATGTGGCAGGTTTATTGATTGAAAAAGAGCTCAAGTATCTCTCCAGTGCAGTGGATATTCCTGTGCGTCCATTAGGTGCTATTATTGGTGGTGCTAAGGTGTCGACGAAAATTCCTGTGCTAAAGTCTTTGCTGCAAAAGTGTGACACCATCATGATTGGTGGTGGCATGATTTTTACATTTTACAAAGCTCAAGGTCTACAAGTAGGCAAGTCCGTCATTGAAGAGGACAAGGTTGAGCTTGCGAAGGAGATTCTAGACGAAGCCAAGGAGCGCGGTGTGCACATTGTGCTCCCCACTGACGTCGTGGTGGCTGACAAGTTTGACGCGGATGCCCAGTCGAAGGTTGTACCCGCTAACGCTATCCCCGCCGACTGGTTGGGATTGGACATTGGCCCGGACTCCCAAACGATGTTTGCCCAGGAGCTGAAGAAGTGCAAGACCGTTGTGTGGAATGGCCCCATGGGCGTTTTTGAGTTTTCTAAGTTTGCTAAGGGTACGATCAGCGTGGCTGAGGCTCTTGCGACGAGTACGGATAGCGGCGTCACCACTATCGTTGGGGGCGGTGACTCTGTGGCTGCGGTTGAGCAAGCCGGTCTTGGTTCTAGGATGAGCCATATTTCTACAGGCGGCGGTGCGAGTTTGGAAATGCTCGAAGGCAAATTGCTGCCGGGCGTAGCTGCTCTGAATGACGCGTAAGTTGTTTCAAACTTGCTTCCAGTGAGAATGGCTTTGCGGTCTGTTCAAGGTATTAATGGATAGATGGAGTATATAGGTTGAAGCATAACTTGATGAAGGCGTTTAATCGAAGGGTGCATGTTGTTCAAAACTATGACCAGCACTGTGCAGGCAATACATGTGTTCCATTCAACAAGTTTACGGTTCCGTAGCGCAGATGTCAATTTAGACCAGGGCCGCTTCTGGATCAAGCAAGTATCATGTAAAACAAATGAAGACCGAAAAACTTACGGAGCAGTCTTACTGGCTTGCTAGGTTACATTATCGAGGCTTAGCAGCCTAAGGTCGAGTCTGCACAAACAACTTGTCGAGCAACATCCACTACAATTGCTTCTTGCATTGTATGCATGTGCGTCTCAATTGCTAAGTAGGTACACAAGTTTTGGTAAACTGCGTGTAGATGTGTGCATGGGAATCCTGGGGAAAGTTGATTCGATTATTTGGATGCTGCTTTGAACTTTGGCAGCATCTATGATCAGTAGCATTCTTTCATTGACGATATCTACGCCAGTGTTGAAGTGTTGAGTGATCTTGTCAAAGCGATTGCAGACTGTAAGACTGTGTCGCCGAAAGGTAAAGAACTGTTTGCCGTCGAGAATTACAACAATCTTATGATCGTAGAGCGATAACGGTTGCATTCCGCCTCTGTCAAACAAGAAAGTCAAGCTTGAGGCCACTTAGCACACAATGAGACAGACACAAGCTCGAACCTTTTTCTACTTCTAGACTGTTGCCATCTATCTATCTCGAGGTAGAGATGACACCCGCTAAAATTCCTTTGAATGGACCGTTGGCCTCCATAACGAGGATATAGTTAGCGTGATTCAAACTGACCTGAATGACTCCAAGAAGTTTTCGATACAGCAAACTATCACTGAAATGCACTGAAAGCTAAGATGTAATATGGATTTTGCACTTGAGGTGCTGCTTTGTAGGACTATAGGTTGTGTATGTAACAAAGCAGGCATACCTGTGTCACCACTAGCATCTAGAAATAGTTCGTCTTTATCAATGTGTTGGAATACACATCTCGTCAGATGCATACAACCGAAGCATCGTTTGGAAAGGGGTCTACGTCAAAAGACTTGTAGCCTGAATCAAATTCTGTCTCAACCACGTAACACGTCCGTCAACAAGCGCCGTGACGTAGACGAGAAACACTTTTGCTGCTTCACGGTAGTAACGAGAATACCTACAAGCTTGCGCAAAATGGCGAAAGCCAAACCTTCGCTTGGAGAAAAAATGCATATTGAGCGTCAACGTATACTTCAAGGACACTTAATCTAAGATAGGTTGTGGACAAGTGATCTACATGAAGTAGGGGTTAACATGGGTAGCACGCAATACCGGCGTCTACAAATATGCGTCATGTGGTGGTGCTGACCCTCACTCCTCAAAGCAATAAAATGACGTCCAGCATGCCACGTACATACCAGCTTTGGTTTAAAATTGTCTTTTGCGTCGGTCATGGGATGATACATTACACACGCAAATTGCACTTACTTTCACGTCGAAGTGAAGAACTAAGTTCACACAGTCCGTGTTGCTCACCCAGTGTTTCGTGAGTGTGGCCAGCCCACGCTAGAGAGCGCTGCGCTATACCTGGGTTTGTGATGAGCGGTATTTCAGTCGATGAAGCATGGAAGATTCAACTTGTCAGTGTCTCTGGCTTCAGGACAGTGAGTATTTATTTGCCAGCGTTAGTAATGCACTCTGAGTAATGCTGGATGAGCAAGTGAATCAAAGTGAAGCGTATAAACGTTCATGTCGTAGAGCCGCGGACACAAAATTCGTGCCGGCGACGATACTTTGTCAAATCATTGCTGGATTATCAAAGCGCAGTGACGGTATCCATTAATGGATATGGCCGGCGCGAGAGGACTCGCAGTGTCGAAGAATGCTCGACAGTATCCAGGATTACGCTGCATGATTGCTGCTACGTTCGACTTGCGTGCGTGAGAGCAAAGACGCGAGCTAGAGGGAACCAAAGTCAAAATATGTCGTCGAGGCCCCGATATTGTCGGCGAATAGTCAATGAGCCTTTCCCATCTTGGTGTTGGCCCGCAAGAGTGGCTTGACAGATTGAACCAATCGCACTACTTGAGTCTTCAGTCGAAGTGACGAGAAGTTACGTCCATATGGACGCAATCGCTTATGCTGGGGAAATGAGTGGATGAGCTTGCTGACGACTTTTGAATATAAACTCTTTCTTCCAAGTCGGGTGCAACGATGAGGTGCGATCATAAAGACGAGCACTTGAAGCATTACTAGCGGTCCATGTGTTACTCATCGTCGCCTACTCAGCTAAATCGGTTTATATCGCCATTGACAAATGCAACACCATAGCAGCTATTGTAAGTACTCCTTCATGCATTCAAGTCTGCTTCTAATCCTCAAAGCAAGCTATCGTGAACCAGGAGAAACGGTTCTTGTAATTAAGCACACTTTACTCTCGATCACTCTCCCGAGTCAACATGTTGATTCTGCTAGACAAAGCATACGTTTGACCGTTGACTACTAGATACTAGATATTTCAAAGTCTTGTTGTAGGCAAAGATTTGCCTCGTGCTCTCTGCAGCACGACGGAGCTGATTTGCGACTCCAGGCTGGAGCAAATGTATTGTATATGTACGTTTTGACTTTAGCATACCAGTACAAACTATACCAGAGAATAGCCAGGCGATTTTATGATGAACTGAACAGAGCCGCAGGGGCGGAAGATGAAATGCGATAATGCCACCACCTTGAAGTCCAAAATAGGCTCGTTTGCTAACAAAGAGGAACGGACGAACAGTCTTCGATTCAATTGTATATATATATATATAAATGGAAGTACGTACATATGAGAAGTCAACACGTACATATTACCGCAAGAAATTATGTATAAGCTTATAAGCCATTGTATACTACTACTACACACGTACATGCAGCAAAGCTTTTTACATTGGTTCTCATCAGTTGTTAGCACCACTAGAGTGATCGATCACCTTTACGACAAAACTGTCCTGCGTACACTGAATATGATCGAATCTTAGGACGAAATGTCTTCGAATGAAGGTAATACTTGACACATCATTCTGATCTGTCTGACGAAGCACCCAATGTTCATTTTAGCGGTAGCGCAAACAAATGTGCGTAATGGGAAGGCCCTAACTTCTTGAGCTACCAGCCAAACAAAACTTCACGTAGTCGATCGATCGGTCGATCGATCGGTTGCTACGTCACGTCGTATCAAGCATTTAGCAACCGTCAAAGTGAGTGTTGAAGTTTATCCACAGAGGACTCACGCTCTCTTTTTCGAAACAGTCGACATCTCGCGATCAACTGCGCCAAATGGCCAACTCGCGACCAATTTGCACACGACAGCAAAACGATTGCACTTTACAAAAGGGGCAGACACTGGTGCACAAAAAAGCAGGTCGTTTGTTGCCAATGGCCGGGGCAGACCAACAAGGGGGAGTGGGAGACCATCCTGAGGTCTGTTCATTTGAGATTTTTGCTCTCACCCCCATCTACTCGTTTCGTTAACACCGGAGCGAGAGATATACACCGTTTCAGTAGCTCTTCCAATCTTGGAATCCTACTACACAACGACACAGCGTCGTACCTTCCCCCCCAAGCTCAACTTTTAGCAGCAGCTTCCCCAACCCAACTCGACGCTCGTCACTTGATGAACGCGAGTATTATTCCTTCATTTATTACCAACCACGACCATCTCGCTATACCGGGCTCTCCATCCCTCTTTCCCTACCCTGCACTACCACAGATCCAACATTTGCACTCGCCATTGACCAAGACACTGGCTTGTCCAGGCGGTGAGCCCGCCAAGCTGTCCATGGCGCACGCAATGGCAGGCGGCCGCTTTGACTCCGGCACGTCGAGCGACGACGATGAAAACGTGGAGCCCACCAAGACCTATGGATGCAGTAGTGCCACGATTTCACCGCTTCGTCAGTCGGATGAAGGAGAAGCGGTCAGTGGTATTGCGGCCATGAGTCTCAGCTTCATCATCAATGGTGAGATGAAGCAGGCTCCACAGGACTTGCATGTGGACGACGACGATAGTGGCAGCAGTGCCGGTGGCAGCACGCGCGGCGGGTTTGACCTCTCGTCCATGCTCAATACAGTTTGTGCCAAGCCCGACTGCTACCGCACCATTCGTGGACCGAGTGGCACGTTCTGCAAGTATCACAAGCAGGGTCGTTTCTGCCGTGCCGACGGTTGTGCAAAGAGTGCCAAGACTGGTGGCTTCTGTATCTCGCACGGAGGAGGTAAGCGTTGCGCACACCCGGAATGCAACAAGAGCGCCAAGCAAGGCGGACTTTGTATTTCACATGGTGGGGGCAAGCGATGCAGCGAAGCAGGTTGTACCAAATCAGCACTCGTGGGCGGTTTCTGCTCGGCTCACGGTGGAGGACGCAAGTGCAAAATGCCAGAGTGTACCAAGACCGCACTTTTGGGAGGACTGTGCATTGCGCACGGCGGAGGAAAGCGCTGTCAGGTTGAAGGTTGCTCCAAGAGTGCTGTGGGTGGCATTCTTTGCGTCTCACATGGTGGCGGTAAACGCTGCCAAGCTGAGGGTTGCAATAAAGGTGCCGTACGAAATGGGGTATGTATTCGCCATGGTGCCAAGCGCGACCAGAAGTCGGTATCGCCCTAGAGAAATAACAGCTCCCGAGAGCTAGGAGGCCGTCAGCGAGTCTCTATAGAGGATGTTATGTGGTCGCCATCGGAAGTGGCCGCAATACATTTCGTTCATTTGACCAAACTACCTTCATTTTTGCATCTACCATTCCCCCAGTTGCAGTACTGCTTCATCCATGATCAAGCTTTAGCTAATATAAACAACAACGACCCAAATAAGCATGTTGCTGCAGGTACCTAATCCACTGAAAATAAATCAACATGACAATGAGTGCTAGTTGCTGCTCCAAACGCGTACTTTAAACACCTTGCATCAACAACTTCTATTCTAGTCGCCTTTGCGGTCATTCCCATACGATCCGCCATATCTAACCAAAGCGTTTGATGCGCACCAGAATCTCTTGCCGACAGAGAGGGCAGTGCGAGAGCAACTCGCAGCATATCTGACACGTTTCGTGCCCGCATTGGAACACCATATCCTTCTTTCTCTCTTCACAGATGGGGCATAGCAACGTTTCTTGAAGTCGTGCGAGCTCTTCCTCAGCTCGCAACAGCATTGGACACGTCAATATGTTGCATACATCGTCTGTGGAGCTCAAAAGTGGTGCTGATGGTGGTGTTGCTTGTATATATTGCATCGTTGGCGTTGCATCAGCTTCGCTACAAGTCTGCTGCAAAATGTGCTGCCTGACGTCCACGTTGTGGCTTTGGCGGACGTTCTCAATACGTTGAGGCGGCGGAAAAATGTCTACACGTGGGAGATCGGTGCGTCCCATGTATGCTTTGTGATCCAGATACTTCATCGCCTTAATTGCTCGATATTGATCAGGTATTTCCATCAACGCCTGCACTGCAAACTGCGCCTCTTTCATCTGTAGATCATTGAATTGTGATGTAATCTTGTGGTACTCTACAAATCGAAAGTTATCAAACTTTCTATGCAAGAGATACTTGTCGAAATAAATCATCGAGTCCCATGGGCCATCACCAACACCGACCATAATAATACTCAATGGAAAATTGCTCGCATAAGTAATGGCATCAATCGTTTCTTTCTCATTCTTGCTCACTGCATGGCGTGGAATATCCACGGATCGTGTCACTTGTCCATCTGCAATAATGAGTAGAATATGATACTCTCCTGTACGATGAACAATATTTACTGCTTCATTAATAACGGGTGCAAAGGATGTAGGACCTGCCATCACGACATTTCGCACCACCTCACGGTATCGCGAGCGTAGATTTTCCAGTGAATATCCAGTTTGATTCTCATGCTCAGCAAAAGCAAATACTGCACGGTCACATGTGAGCTCATCTCCAAATCCGTATACTGGAATTAAATTGTCCCTGGCTGTAGAAACCCACACATAGACACCGATTTACATGATCATATAAAGTTGACACAACTTATACATTAGATCACACAAAAAAACGTACTAAAATCCTCTAATGTTTTGCCAATTGTTTCAATCACGTCTTCGTATGGATTTTGGACACTTGGTTCGTCAATTTCATGCAAATTACGTCCTCTAAATGTACGTTTACCACTCCATTCATTGGATTTGGTATCTATTTTAAAAGAAAACCAATATAAATTATCAAAATAATAGATGGATATTATCCATTCATAAGACAAACAAACACAATGAACGAGCAGCTACGCACAATCAATACCGACAATCAGATTGCAACTCTCGAGGCCACTGCACCTCAACGCGTCGGTAACTTGTGATAACGTCGTCAACTGATCTTGTACAATTGGTATAAGCGTATCAAATCGGTCCGTAATAGGACGTAGACGTGTCTTTGTCTCAATCTGTGACTGTCGTCGCTTCTGTTTACTGGACCCATTGCCCATGAGTGAGAAAATGTGTTTGATGTTTTGGAAAATCGAGTGAAAACTGGATTTTATCTTGATTCGACTAAAAAAATCTAGTTTTCTAAGAATTTGCACTCAGCTGTGCGTACAAACTACGTATGGGTGTGTGGGTACACTTTTCGCTGGTCGAACAGCAGTATCAAGTATTTTTGGACACTTGCTCATCCAGCATCGTTCGCATTGTGTAAGCCCTCTGGCGTAATTATTCTTAATTGATGCTGAAGTACAAAGCAATATGTACCCACGTCTTCTGAACCTTAGTTGTTTTACAACTTTGCTTGCTACATTATTGTCCTTTGCTTGAAAGCTCTGGTTTGTTTTGCACTACAATTCGTTTTCTATGTCTGTAGCCGTCTGACGTACGTACAATATGTTTAATTGTCATCAATAGCTTGACATTCCGTCCACAGTGAGCTCCCTCGGGTCTGTATCTAGTAGACACGTGATAGTGAAGTATTGCGCTTGACCGTGAGGCTCGAAGACACAGCAATATGCACCTAGTTCTTTTGGCCAGTGACAACAAGAACACCTTTGATCACATTTCGCTCGTTTCAATCTGCGTTCTTTCCAGTCCCCTAAATATATGTGTTGTCATTTCTCTACATCAATAGCCTCGCAAGATTATATCTCAATTTACAGCATGCCCACGAGATCTCTACCATGTGTCAATTGCTGCTGCTCCGCGTCAAATCGAAGTTCTCGTTCTTGTTGATCTCGTAGCAATTTTTTCTTTCGATGACGGTCCTTTCGCTCTTTCCGTTCATCAAACACCTCAATACCTACAAGTCCAAGCTCGCACAGTCCAATAACAATTGCACTACGCAATTTGGGGCCAGTTTGAAGCGTCATCTTTAGCACAGATTTCAAAACAAAAGCGTAGAAAATAGCGACGACTAGTGACGTTAGCATGAGATTGTACTTGTAATTTCGTGCTTTACGCAGACGTTTGATCTTCCAGCAAAAGAGAAACTTGGCAAAGTAGACGAGAAACCAGGCAAAGACAAAAGGTGTCGGGTAAAAGATGTAAATCCATTGCAATAGCCGCAAATTCTCATCCAATTGACCCTGCGTATACTTGCTAGCCACAAAACGAGCAGCGTGTGAAGTGCCAGCGCCCACGTCAAAGAAGGCCACGACCACGGCAAAGATGGCCGAGAATGTTAGTGACGCGTATAACCATCGATAGAATCGCTTTTGGTGCACAAAACCCCAGTATCCTTCCGATACCGTCAGCATCTTATGGATTGCGCGGCGTTTACCCATAGTGACGAATGTTAGGCAGGCACTCAATTGACTCGAATTGTCGTGTAGTCAGTGTAATAGTTGTAGAAAACACAATATAAATATTTATTTGGATGGCGTCATTTGATTAACCCAAAATAAAAACCATTATACAGCTGTTTTATGTGAAGTTTAGATTTTAGTGATTTATGCAAATCGGTACAAATATTACCTGGCTTGTCTCTTGGCCAAACACATTTGACCTTTCGAAATCTATGACACGTTATAAACGTTTAGAAATATAAAATATGATAAGACACTATTTCCATATAAATGAGCTGTGGCAATATAATAATTTTCTTATCTACACTCTAATATAAGCTCAAGAATTATAATAGTTAAAGCATATTACAATAATATGTATTGTTTAGTTAAACAACCACTAAGTTCGTCATTTTCCAACATTGTTTAAGTACTGTATATAACTATCCATAGTCATTGCAAGTCAATTCCAGTCATTACTGTCCAATGATTTCCTGTGTGCTCAATATGCTGGTGCCCATGAAGGCAACGTTAGCCTCGTCTCCTCTGTCTGTGAAGGTTGCAATACTCGTGGGTTATCTAACGCTATCTCGCCTAGCTATGCATCTACTGGTGTCACTCTACACGTTTTTCTTACGTCCGGCAAAGAACCTCAAGAGCTTTGGCCAATGGGGCATAATCACGGGCGCCACGGACGGCGTTGGCAAGGCACTGGCAATGGAGCTAGCGCGCAAGGGAATGAATGTGGTACTCATGAGTCGTACGCAGAGCCGCCTGGAGGACGTGCGTGCCGAGATCATAGCCAAATATCCTAAGGTGCAGGTAGAGATCTTAGCCGTTGACTTCAACCGTGTGGACGAGCCGAGCGTGCGTGAGGCGCTGCGGAAGACGCTTGAACAAATCAAGGACATTGGTGTACTTTATAACAACGTCGGCATTTCGTACGACTTCCCCGAATACTTTGACAAGCTTCCAGAGGACCGTGTGGACAGACTCATTAAGCTCAATGTAACCGCGACCACTATCATGTCCAACCTGATATTGCCAGGCATGACGCAACGCAAGCGTGGCGTAATTGTCAACATCAGCTCCGGCTCGTGCCGCATAGTTGTACCACTGCTTAGCGAGTACAGCGCTACCAAAAAGTACATTGAGCAGCTTACATTGTGCCTAGCAGCCGAGTACAGCGCCAAAAATGTGTACATCCAGTGCCATGTACCCATGTTCGTGTCAACCAAGCTGGCCAAGATCCGCAACTCAAGCTTTATGGTGCCGTCGCCTGCGACGTTTGCTCGCGCGTCGGTAGCCCACCTGGGCCACAACACGCTCGTCTCGCCCTACTGGCCGCATGCTCTCCAGATTTGGCTGTACGAGAGACTACCTGCGTGGCTACAAAGCAAGGTATGTTGCTGATCGCCCTAAAAACCCCGTCACCTTTTTTCTGACTGACGACTTAATTGTATGTGATCATGTTTTAATGAATTTTAGGTCGCCATGACGACCCACCTGTCGCTACGCAAGCGCGCGCTAAAGAAGCTTGAGGCTAAGAAGAATGAGTAGGCAGGCTCTCGGCACGGAACTGGCGAGCTCGGGGTTGGTCAGATCACCCACAATTTCCACACCTCATGCTTTATTAGCAAAGAGTCTTATCGTTGCAATATAACCATTGTCCCGTCATGTATAGTAGCGTCTTGCAACATACGGATGAATGCCAGCAATCAGCGGTAGCAATACCGGGAAATAAGCCGCTCTTAAGATCCACCCCATCGTCACAATCGAGGCCGCTCTGCCGTGATATGCAGCGACGCTTTCCACTGACTAATGCTGTAAGTTTCTTCATCTATCTTTTGCAGCAGCAAAATCACAGGTTTGCGTGATTCAAGGATCCAACAAGCAGTGTTGATCGAGTGGATCAATCGGTTGCGGGATGTTAATGTTAGGTAAGCGCACTGGGACTATCACCTTTTGCGAGCTTGACCACCACCCATTTTGTCGTCAGACTGGTCGATTTTAAGCGATCAGTAGTCATCATGATTATTCGAAAAGCACGTGTCTTCTTCCGCATCTCTAGACAATTTCTGTTTTAGTTGGTGGTACGTTTGATACACATAACCAAGTTAGCCACATATGAGCGCCTAATTGTAGCGCTATTCGTGTGGTCAATACATCACAATCTGCATCTTGGCAATTAGCTTCCAACGGTCTCTGTAAATGCAGGAAGCAGCAGCGTGGTGATGCTCAGAAGAGCCAGCGGCAAATACACTGTCCAAGACCTCAACGCTGGCTCATTATCTCAACAGCTCTTGCTACGACGAGCACAAAACAAACAAACAAACACACACAAATACACAACCCCATGAACATTAAGAAAAAAAAGATGGCCAGCAAGTAAACAAAACTTGATATAAAATAGCAAAAGCTGTACAGGAATCCGCCTTTTTTTAAACAAAGAGGTGGTGGTCAATGTGACGAATATAAGAGCAGTAGCTTGGGATAGAACTGACACACGTGGTATCTCCTATCAGCTGACTATGGTGGGCCTTCTGTGCCGAAAATCTGGGCATTTTTGTGCCAATTATTCATTTATCTAGATGATAGGTATAGAGGTAACTTACTAAGAATTTCATGCATGACCAATCAATTTGAGGTATACATTTAACTTAGGCGAGCAAGGACATTTACCATGTGGTAGCTAGCACCTCGGAATTCCAGTCCGCCCTCATCCGGCGCACGCAATTCCAAATCTCGAACTGTATTCATCAAGTATTAGGTACGAACACTCGATTGTTTCACTTAGAAACAATATGTTGTATGACTTGAGATGTGTATGAATTGAAAATATTTATACCTCTATGTTTTAATTTCCTGTCATATAATACGTTTTTATTCCTCTCCAGCACTTACTTTGCTCACCACGTACTACAAAATCTATCGCACGTACCTAGAAATCGACAAATGGTTTTCCTGGTTCGCCATATTTCACATTACTCTACTTCTTTACGAGACATTATTACTTTTTCTTTCTAGTGCGCAAGTCGCTCTGGGTTTTTTGAATTTGACCCAGCTATTAAAATTCAACGACTTGGGTTTATTCTTAGTCTTTTTTTCCATCAGTCTTCTTCTTCTTAGTCTTCTTAGTCTTGTTTAGTTTAACAATGGGATTAGAGGACTTGAATATGACTGATGTACCTGTACCTGAACGTATAGTAGATGTCAAGGTTATTCCACTTCCTTCATCAATATCTACAGTATCCATTGAATCGGAAGCAGCAGCACTACGTCGTCGTACATCTATCCCCAGTACCTTTTCATTTGGTGGCGTGGATCACTCGATTCCAACGACTGATGTCGGTCAACGTCGTTGGCGTAGCTTTGATGCTGCTGTTGTATTGAATAATGTAGCTGCATCCTCAGCACTTGAGATGCTATCACGTCGTATTCAGCAAGAGAGTCAACATGTACTTAAACGTAAGGCCCGATTATCAAAACGTCGTGAGCTATTACGGAGTATGAGCTGCTGGCTTAGCTCTAGTCGACGTGACCAGGTTGCATTGCTGCAGATGCAGCTTGTAGCTGAAGTAGCCACGAGCAATCGCTCACTGGCTGTACTCAGTGATATGCGGACAGTATTGGCTTTGGATGAAGCTGATGAACTTGTCTCGGGCGCCCAGTACCGCAGAGGAAGTTTTGTTGCGAGTCAGATATTGCTAGATGGTATTGAGCAGTCTGACCGTGCATTGGCCGAAGACTGGTTGAGACAGGTGCTGCAATTGCAGGCCAGCTATTTGGGCAAGCTTGTGGAGCTTCACAGTCAGAAAAATATGCTTTCCACTGGTCTAACGCTTGAGCAATTACTTGCTGGGGTAGACAGTGTGATAACGGCAAAGGATGAGCCCACGCTTGCGCTTGTGCGCTTCGAGAAGCTGTTGTGTCGCCAGAAACTACTTAAACCCGAGCTCAAGAAGGCACTGGACAAGCTTTGCTTGGATACAATGCGCTCTTTTACGCGTGCCAGCAGCCAACCAGGAACCAAGACAATATTTGACAACAGAGAGTCGCGCGATGTCATGCAGTCGCTGGTTCAGGAGATTGTAAACTCTGTTGCTATGGAGGCAAACATGGACACTGCCCAGATGCCGGCATTACATGTGTTTGTGGAGCACATGGTCTTCAGTCGACTTGCATGCGCGTGCTATCGTAGCACAGCTGCCGATCTGGATGAGCTCAATAGTTTATGGCGCGATCAGGCGGCTAAGACGCGTGAATTGAGTCTAGAAGAAGTTGGATTGCCTGTGGAAATTCCCGTAAACGCTCAGCAGCACGAGATTTTTAGCAAATCCATCGCTGCGTTTAACGAGATTCCACACCTAGTGCCTTCAAGCGTACTTGCGTCGTTCATGCGAGCTGTGTGCACATTGTACTGTGAGGCCAAGGAAGGATTTGGCCTTGAAAGCAGTTGCATTTCGGCCGATGTATTGCTACCGATGCTGGTGTACGTGTTAAGCCGCTGCGAGCTGCCGCACTTGCACTCACAAGTGTATTTGATGGAGCAATACGCCATTGACGAATCTCAGAGTGGCTCGGAGGCTGCCTATTATCTGGCGTGCTTGCAAGCTGCAATGGGTTACATCGAGGGCAATGGAGGTGCTGAGGACACGGAGTCCCAGTAAAGAAGCGTATAAGAGTCAAGTCAATTGATGTGTAGAAATCGTGATCGTAAACAGATCTGACGGAGTGTTTTCCGTCAAGCAGAAAAGAGAAATTATTTATCTGAGAACTATGTAACAATACAAACGAGTCTTAAGCCGACAACGCTTGTGGGAGTGCTTTCTTCGTTGCGTGGTGACAGAGGTCACTACGATGTCTGCAGTGTATTTGTCTGTCTATAAGAATGTGTTGTTATTGAAGCGAGTCAATCCAATGCCGGACATTCGCAATCGAGCTCTCGAGGTCTGGTGTAAAACAAGCATCAAGCGTATTAGCTACATGCGTAGATATTATAAAAGCTTTTCAAAGTCGTTCCGGAATAACACTCACCGACTGCTCCACAGCGCTGCAACCAAGGAGAGTCAAGCAAAGTATCGGCTGAAGCACGGTCCAGCGGGTTCTTTTGCAGACACTGGTGCAGGAACTCACAAAAATCTTGCGAGAAATACTGCGGCGATAGAGCAGGTGGTGGTGCTTCGAGCACACTCTGCAACATGTCAATGCAAGTTTTGTGATTGGGATACGGGTAAACGCCCGTGGCCGCTTCCATGAGTACGAGACCAAGACTCCAGGTGTCTGAGCTATAGCTGTACTGCTTGTGCTGGATTCGCTCAGGAGACATGTACCGAAAGGTGCCTACAAAAGTGCCACACATGGCTGCAAGAAAGAAGCAAGCAAGGTCAGAAATTCGTTCAACTATGCACATAACTATTGACACTAGTACCGATGGAGTTGCCAAGCTCGGAGGCAATGCCAAAATCCGAAAGCTTGACTTGACCTTGACTGTTGAGCAAAATATTTGGTGGTTTAATGTCACGATGTACGCGTTTATTGGTCTTCAAATACGACAGCGCATGGAGGATCTGGAAGGCAACACTGGCCAGAACATGCTCTGGAATTGTACCAAGCTGATGAATGACATTTTCTAATGATCCACCGTCCATGTATTCAAGAGCAAGCACAACTGCGCCATCACGTAGAAATGCACCAAAGAAAGTAACGAGAGATTGACATTTTGCGTTAAAAAGTGCATTGATCTCTCGGATAAGCTGTTCGCGTTTGGTTTTGTCGTACATATTGATCATCTTGAGTGCTAATGGTGTGTTAGTAGGTCGATGACAGGAACGAAGTACACAGCCGCTAGCTCCTCGTCCAATAATCTGTCCATCCCATTCCAATTCCTCTGGCACAACACTAAAAGCGCGACCAGTGCCTTTTCGAACGACTCCAGTAGAAGTGATGGCATACTTCCCTTTAACATACGCATCAGCGCCAGCAATAAAGGAATTCTCAAGATTGTCCATGCTCTCGTTTGCAAGAAAGGATTGAAAGACTAGAAGGTGTGGACGGAACGGACGAATTTTGAAATCTGATGATGTCTTTTCCAGTGTCGTGAGCGATCAAGTAAGACCCACGAAAACCTGCGAAGGCTAGCCACGCAAAACAACGTTGGCTGTTGTCTCTGTCACAACACACGTGCTTTACTGGCCTCTTTAGCGCTGGTAAAACGTTACGTGACCACGCAAAAGGAAGATCCCAAGCGTTCCAAGTACTGTTGAAACCGTATGAATATAACGTGCTCATGATACGATGAGATACATGCTCGACACAATCGTTGTTGCGTGTGTATGCAATGGACTGTGTGAAAGCAAAGAAAAGATGATCAGCTAGTTTAAAGGTACGTACGTGCCAAACCGACTTTCAGGCAGACTCGTATTTGTGCAGACGGACAGACGACTAAGCGCAGTAATTATCACGCCTGTCATCAGTTTCTTGAATGAAGGCGACACTGAAGCCAGATCACTGACGCAACAAAGCCTAGATAGTTTGCTTGAACGTAATGAACGTGGCGGAAGGTGCAACGACATGTCCGTATCTTAAGGATTGTTGTCTTCGTAGTTGTTGTCAGGTCTCCGATATCCTTAGGATCCCCTTTCGAGCCCTTCACTTCTGCTGCTCGTCTGTCTAGCTCTATGGTATGTTTACTCAGCAACCGCCTACAATCTTTGTGTCGACCGATTCATTGGTCGTCGTTCAAGGCCTAATGATGCGCGTACTTTTGAGTACAGTGTACTAATACTGCACTGAGCTTGTATCCTCGCAAAGCGCGATGGTCGTGGTATCTCCACGTAAAGTGACGTTTTGGCAATGGGGTCGTCGGCATTCTAGCGATAGAAACCCTTCCTTGACTTCTTTTCCCCCTCTTTTTTTTTTTTTTTTTTTTTTTCTTGACTGTTTGCGTTGACAATTAAATGGCTACACACCTTCATAGTGGTGGCGTAGCACTGTCAGTAATACATCACAAAGACTATACGCTACTCAAACAATGCAAAAGTGTTCATCTACATCGTCAGACGCCCCGCTCTTGGATTGCATAGAGCGAGCTCTACGAATGTACTTTTCGAGTAAATTGTCAGTTCAGGACGCTGAAGACCCTGTCCAATTCCGAACTCAAATGCTGCATCACGACGATGAAAATGGAAATGAAAGGGCTGACGAAGGGGACGATGGCAGATCTCTTACGGTCCATCAAGTTTTTGTCGGGATGTTGGACGCAATGTACGTGACTCAATTGGCGGTGATCCTCAAAGTGTGGAACGAGACTAGCGTAAACCCGCTTCTGGCGTTGGCTACAACCACGGAGGCAGCAGAATCTCCGATGCTGACAATGAAGGCGTGACTCTAGATTTCACGAGCAGACAGAGTGTTGTCAATGTATCTATCGACATTATTCATGCATTTATCGGTGTGATCAAGAGCGGCGTGGACGAAGACATTTTGGTAGCAACAATGTCTCTCGTAGACGAGATCGGAGGTTCACGTGGTATTTTGACCTTGTTGGGATTCCAACAGACCATAGGGAGTCGAAATTTAGCGCCGCTTACGCTCCGTCAATGTCTCGCAGCATTCAAGAAGTGTCATACACCTGGTGAGCAGCTTACGGTCGGTGCCCGAGCTTTCAGCAAACATTGTGCACGAAGTTCGAATGGCTGGTGGGGCGAGCTGAGAGGGAACGATACTGCCAAGAATGCTTGTGCGGAGAGCAAAGTGCGTGAACTCTTAGCGAATGCGACGTGGAAGATATTCACATTCTTTCTCATGCTCACGCGACGATGGAAATTTGCAACGCGTTGGGATATGGGGCACGATGGGACGCAGAGACAAAGGCATTCCGAGGCTTTCTCGAGCCGCCTATGACTAATGGTCATGAAATCAAGTGGAAACATTAGATGGCGAGAGCTGTAACTAATGTAGGTGCAGATTGAGCAACAAACTAGCGTCAAGAGGTATTGTGTCCGTTTCGGCTAGACGACTCGGATTGTTTTTGATAGGTCTCCAGAAACAAGCCAGCGAAAGAAGACATCAATAGCTCCAACAGCTTACCGTAACGACTGCAGGAGAGCTCAGCGCGGTAGAATTTGCAGCAGTGGGGATGCTAGACTACGTCAGAAACTAATAGCGCAGCCTTTGGTGTCATATCTGATAGCGACGTCGTTGCTTGGAGCTTTCACTAGCGTGAATGCGCCAGGCCCGTGGTGATGGCGAAATCACAGTCTGAGACAATGCTGCATCGGATAAAGCTGTCTGGCCTGGCACAATCCTGGACCATCGCAGGAGCAGCAATGCCGTGACTAACTTGTACGTCATGTTGATGGCGGCAATTGGCAATTGATAAGCCCCTCATTGATACCGCGTAATGGCAACAGAATCTTTGGCTAGTGTCATTCCTTGCAGCAATCTTACATGATCTGGACTTGAGACGAGATAAGTGAATGGCATACCTTCAAGTTCAACCAGTGTACCTTCGTTATCATGCATTCTTCATTGTTTTCACTGTCGGTGATAGATGAAATGCTGCTCTTGTTACTGGTGAGCTGGTCAACACTGAGTCGAATTACGGCATTGGGGTGTTGAGCAGTCCTTGAGCAACCGTGTGGGCCTTCTCAGTACCACATAGCAGCTCAACTAGCTTCACTCCCATGGCCATAGCAGTACCTGGACCTTGACTAGTTACACATTTGCCATTCACCACAACGTTCTCATGTTTATAGTCCACTCCCGTCATCTTGGACTCAAAGCTTGGATAACTCGTGGCTGGACCAGAAGCCAGCAGTCCGTGCGTATGCAGAACGACAGCAGGAGCGGCACAAATGGCACCGTACAATTTACCGTCTTCTTTCTGCTTCTTCAGCAAATCCACTAGCTCCTTTGAGTCACGAAGGTGCTCTGCGCCAGGCATTCCCTGATACAATTTATAAGAAACTATCATCGTTATCATACTAATATAATACAAGACTTGTAGACGTACGCCAGGACACACGATGAGGTCAAAGTTCTTGCCAAGACATTCCTCAATGGATACATCTCCCTGTATCTTTACACCACGTGACATCTTTACAAGATTCTGTGGTTTCTTTCCAACTGTAGCTAATGTCACTTGGACACCACCGCGAGTTAGGACGTCAGCTAGAGTAATGGCTTCAATCTCTTCTGAATCGTCGGCCTATAGAAAGTATTCATTTGAGTAGTAAGATCGATTCATGATAGAAAGTGATATCGTTTGACTTGAACTTACTATAGGAATTAAAGCAGTTGACATGGTAAAAGTGGAAAATTGATACCTGAGACTGCGGATACGAAGCTGAAGCACGAGACGAGAGAAACGCATACAATGATTTTGTTTGTATGGCTCAGATTAATATGATCTTTTTACCCAATCAATATTGTACTTTACATTAAATAGAATGACTACAGATATCCTCTAATGTGTGTTTTTTTCTCTGTAATATCGATCTTTCTAGTTTGTTCAATCTCATAATTTTTATGCACAACTTCTTTCATATCCTCCATGTTTTACTCATCGCTTTTTTCTGGAGGGTACGTACACCTTTCAGACCATTACTGCTTTTTACAATGCAGCTACCGATATTGCAATCCACGTGATTGCAAACGTAACCCTTCCTTCCTTTTATTTGTTGACTGATCATCTGTATATCAGGAAATAGCTTTTCTTGCCGTCATGGAGTTGGTCACATTCAGACGACATGCTCCTCTCACGTATGTGTAAGAAAGGACACGTCACAAACATAGCGTAGACTTTCGTCACATCGTTGGATTATTATAATCGTATTTAATCGAGCGGAACGCTCTCCAGGCTCAAATAAGCACGCAGGAAGCCCGGAAAGACTTGACGCTATTGTCCACGGAAACTGGTGGCAGGGACAACATAGTCGTGCCATGATGATGATGATACTATTTGGTTACATGGTAGCCTGTCTTTGCTTACCTCTGGGGGTATAGAACACAACCATGTCATCAATTGCGAGTGCATTTCTGTCGTCTTGGTTGTATTCTTTTGCATCACGCAACGCAATGCAAATGGGTTATTTTTCAGCTGCTAATGGTAGGTAATACGACAATAAGTAGGGTGGTATGAGTATTCGTACACTCAGAGGATTCGAGTAGTTGAGTACTGTAAATTGTCTGCAGTGGCATGATGCCCTTGGTCGCAGCTCATGCTGAAGATAGCATGAAGTCTGTTAAGTACTCATCACATCGGTAAATGCTGCACAAAACGGCTGTAATTGCAGTAAACTTCACAGTGGAGACAGTGACTGTTTTCTATGCAGTCCCTGCATGACCAAGTGAAACGTCACCAGTTTTGTCGACTGCCTTGGATTGATGCGGCTCTATCTCGCTGCTGCACTCATATCACATGCTTTTATTGCCACTGCTCAAGACCCAGACATATTTCATGTCGACTGGTATGCTCCGCATGCTCGCAAAACATGGATTGGTCATATCAGCACCTATTCCGATAGCTATAACAATGAGCAAGGCGTTGAGATAGTCAACGTGTAGGTACGTGGAAATGTAAACAGTACGAAACCACGACGTGCCTGTTTTTGCGAATAAGAGCTGATCAATGGATTGTATTAGATGGTCAGAAGATTAAGGTGACAAGATACGCGTTTCGCTCACCTGCTTCGCAACTTATCTTGCGAACTATCGCATGCACTTTTACAGCAACCCTTGACGAGCCAGATCCTCATAAGTCTTCCTATTGAGTACATTACCTTCAGAGTCCTCAAATTCCTCTTCATTTGATGGATTCCAGCTCTCAGCATCAATTTGGTCTTTTAACTTTTCGTATACTATTCAGCAATCAAACAAAGCACACATGATGAACGATTAGTGGATCCCAGTGCAGAAGAATGAACGGCTGTGTCAAACAATACTTACGCTGGATGGCGTCCCGCATGAGTGTGATGTCGTGGAAGTGCTTTGTATTTGGAATCTTCAGGCAGCGCATACCAAAAGCGTGGCGCCACTCCTGGAAATGGCGATCAAATGCACGTCGTCCCCAATAACTGTGATTGCCACAGATTTCGCACTTGTACTCGACGCCTAGTCCGTGCAGCTTGTACAACCAGTATGGAATCGGTTTTCCATCCCAACCCAGCGGTAAATTCAACGGATTGTAGAGCTGTTCTTCCTCGTCCTCACCCTCTCCGTTATCGTTCTCCACATCCACATCGGAAAATGCGCCCTCCTCTTCCTCCTCAATTTCGGCTTGGAGCTCTTCGTGTGTGCGTGTCTGCTTGAGTTCCAAATAAGAAATTGTGCCTTGCACAACTTCCGTGAGTAATTCGTACATTCGGCGGATCAATACTTCATCAAATGCAATAGCCTTTCGCTTCGTTTCCATCTGCATGCCAGTATCCTTGCTTGTTTCGGCGCCGCTAGAAGTTGTATCATTGCTTCCGTGTACTATCGTAGCTCGTGCAGCAGCAACAGACTTTTTGTGTTTCTTTCCTGTCAAATGGCTCTTATAAACTCCCTCGGAGCTGAGCTGCTTATTGCAACATTCGCAAAAGTATGCTTGGGGTTTGCCGTTGTTCACGCTGTCATTCTCATTAGTTGCGTCCCACCCAGCGACGTTGCGAAGCGCCCACTGCTTTTCAAACTTTGCAGAGGTTTCATCAATCACGTCGTCAAGGTCCACGAGTGGTTGCGTACGTTGATAAAAATCCAATAAATACTCCTTCAAGTCCTTCAGATAGTGCTGGAACGGTACTGATTGTGTTTTCTGTGCTGCTGGAATGGCCGAAAAGTCAGAGAAGGATGCTAGATACGCCAGATAGTCAATAGTAGCAGAAGCCAACTGCTTTTTTCCTCTACTCTTGACACTCGACCTCAGCACTTCCTGTGTCTTTCGTACTTGCCTACAATGACCACAGAAAAGTCAACACAGTAGCTCTTGTAAATATCCCCTAGCTCCTCTTCCACTTACCATTTAAACTCTGGAATATTCAAAAAACGGATGTAGAACTCATTTAAATCTACATATTTCCCAAAACGCTCTTCACCTGAAAACTGAATGTTTGGATGTAGAGCCTCCTCCAAGTTTGGCTCATGAGACACCACTGAGTTCGGGTACTTGCGATGAAAGGAGCGAATGGACTTGAGCTGCTCATAAAATGTAGTAAACACTGCTCGTCCACGCATATTTGCCGTCTCTTCTGCAAAAATCCTGGTCATAACAGCAGCAATAGTCAAGCAATGGCCATATCACTCACAATGTCCTTGACAGAGCGGTAGAAAGGTACTGACATACCCATCTTCATCTTCATAAAGCTCCTTAACGTGTTTACTATGCTTTGTCACCCCGTCCAGTAATTTACTCACCTTATGTCCATGCAAAACTCGGCTACGATGCTACATTATTTAATGTAAACAGCAAGCATTTCTAGTCAAAATTGATTCATTATACAATACATAACCCAGCGTAGTATCAATAGAGACGTACATTACGTGGTTTCTCGCATAGTGTGGCCACAATAGCACGCTCCAATGCCTCAATTTCTTCCTGTTCAGCGCGTAGCTGCTCCAATATAGTGGACGACATGAATGGATTTTGGCTTTCTTTGCTACTTTCGGAAATAAAGGAATACACTATGGTTATTAGGTGTGACAAGGTACAAAACAATATGGCTACATCATCACCATGCATTGACAAAATGGACAGAACAATTCCTAACTAATTCTTTTGTTGTGTAAGTTAGTCGATCTCTTTGTGTGCTGGTTAATCACTGTCACTATCCAATAAACAAATGATATCCATGTCATTCGAATTTGCTATGAGTTTTGGAGGTTGTCGTGCTTGACGTCGTTGTGGCTGGTCAAACGGGTTGTTAACATTGTGATTCCGAGACAATGAGGCCATTGAGCTGGCCAGGTTCGATTCCGCCTGGTTTAGCAAATCTTGAAGAGGTGATACTGTCACGGGTGGTAATGCAGCTGTAGACGTTGGTGGGGGCATACTGCTTACGATAGTACTCGCAGGCACCGAATACATCCAGGACGAAGAGGTCCTTGCATTTCCAGTGTTAGCCGACGCACTAGTCGAAAAAAACAAGCTTTCATCCAATGGAAAAGGAAAATATTCACCGCAATTGCCATCGCTCCCACCGCTTGTTGCGTTAGTCGATACAGGTACTGCCGGCGTATCCCATACGTCGCTAGTTACGGTCAATATATCCATATCGTCATCAAGCAGTATTGGTATAGACGTAGACGCAGCAGTCGCGCTTGACGTGGTTTTTCTTGCTAAGTCTTCTTCAGCTTCATCATCACTTGATAATAAATCAATCTCCACTGGCGCTGTTGAACTTGACCCACGTGGTTCATTCAACGCGTCAGTAGGTGCCGCGTGTGCTCCACCAAAAATCGGGGTACTATCTGTTGGCAATGTACTAACTTCTACCTGCTCCGCTTTGACTTTTTTGACTGGAGGCTCGGACATCAATTCTGCCTCGAGCCTCCGTTTCCATGATCCATCAGGAAAGATCTCAACTTCCTCCAGTTCATCTTCACCTTCAACTTCAGCCAGAAGCTTTTTTAAATAAGGATCAATACGCAAATCTGCAGCCTTGATAAACTACAGAGGTTAAACGAAATGGCACACGCATAGATAAAAACCGTCAGTCATCTACAAGGCAAATTAAACAAAATAGTGAGTGCTTTGCTTACTTGATGGCACACTGTACACCGCCACGCCTTTGACCGTGCCTTCTTACTAAACAGCAAAAACGTTTTCAGATCGAAACACTGCAAATGTTTGCAGTGCAAACCTCGTGCCGGTAGGTTGATTACACACAACCCCAATGGACAGCGAACCGACAGCATCGTGACCGTGGCAACGACATCATCTTCGTCTTCACTGCCAAATGATTTGACAACTTCTTGCTTTGCTGTATCATACGTCAAATGCTTCGATGCCTCTTTTACCTCATTCACAATATCATTTATATTGCATACCTTCACAATTTGTACCATGAACCCAAACAGAGACGGGTTCTCAATACTTCGAATATCAACCACATTTCGTCCAATGCGCGAGTACTGGAAGATACTTGCTGGTAGTTCTCGTAAGACTTTGGAAGGATTCGCATGTCCTGGTGGAGCACGTTGCGTGATCGGCACGCCGAAGCCATTTACGCTCAGTTGTGTAGACGTAGGCCAGCAATGTCCTGCACCAAGATCGTCTTTCACGGCAAAGCACCGTAGCTGCAGCTCCAAGGACCCCGGTGTCATTGATCCAGGCTGCGGATCCCGCTTAGCATACATGTTATTCAGGTCGCTCTCCGTGATGTAGTACTCAAGTCGAAAAGAGCTTGCAGACTTGGCAAAGCGCACAAAGCTCGGATCAAGCACAGTCTTTTGCACGCGATAGAACGGATCATATGTTTTTGATCGACACATTTCACAGTACCACTCTCCACTCAACTGTATCAAACACAAACAAAGCAAGTCACAAACACAATGTTTACCCATTGTCAGCCCACGCTATTAACACCTCACAACAAAAGCAGTTCAACTCACCGTTACCAACTGGTGGCACTTGGCATGTACAGCTAAGCCGCAATCAATACACTTGATCACTTTTCCAGATACTCCTTGTATTGCACAAAAACATCTTGCACCGTCCAGTGCTGCAACATTTGTAGGGTGATATAAATCTACGCCACTAGTGAGTGGGATAACCCCTGTACCCGCAGGAACCCCATTCACAGCTCCATAGGTAGATGGTGCATGTGTATGAGGTGTTGCATTCCTTCCATACACAGGGACGGGAAGAGAGCGAGTTGGTGGCGTCGTAGGGGCCAATGTGGGTGCATAACATGCCGTTACCTGTGGTGAACAATAGCCAGCTTGCACGACCTGCGGTGTTGGTCCATAGTTTGGTCTTCCTCTTGTTTGCATTTCAATGCTTCTCATACCAGCCGATAGTCTCTCAGCGTAGAAAGGAGCAGACGTAGCGCCTCGAGCTTTCTCTGCAAAGTGCTAATTAAAGCAAGGAATAAACACATTAAACGTAAGCTTCTAGGGCTACGAGAAGTGCATAAAGAAGCAAGAGTCACCTCTAATTCATTAGCAATGCGGTCCACAAGCTCCGATTTACGTCCAGAGCGAGCCAAATTGAGATCCATCAGGATGTTGCGCAGCTCGGGCATTCGAAGCTGGTTGAGACGTATGCGGAGACCACGCACTTGATGCGGAATGATCGTATCGTTCATTTATTGCACAACTATTATTTCTCTTAACTTGTTAGCCTTGCGGTAATGCAAGTCCCGTCCTGGCGGCCCTTTTGTACGTGGGCCTAAAGCTTCTTCTAGGCGCTTCAGACTCGGCGCATTGTTGGCATCATGTCAAACAGCGTAATTTGACACTGTTACACACCGTGTTCTAGTATCATTAATTTGCTAATTGCATACATACACTAACATGTCAGGCTTTACAGTTAAAACACGCTGTATTTTTGTACCTACTTTTGTAATTTGATCTAGTTTTGATTTTGCTTGGTCGACAAGCAAAGATCAACCATATGCTAGAGCAATTGCTGCTTCGTTTCGAAGAGAACTCAGTGGACGATGAGAGTTTAGCTTATATGTATGAAAGTATATGAAAGACATGTGCTTAAGACGATGTTGAAGAAACGATTCGAGTGAGGTCATGTACTGTCTGTCTGACAGTGATAGAAAAGATGGTAAATTGTTGAAGAATTGCAACAAAAGACATAGAGTAGATCACTATAAGACTTGGGTCAACGTCTTTGATTGCGTATTATTGGATGGAATAGTACGTATGATCTACAATGGAGTGAAGAGACTAAAAACCACGTCTGGATGATCGTTGGCGAATATTGAGGGGTGCAAACCAACGATGGGCCTTAATCTCCTGCAGTGAAAGACGCTTCTCTGGAAGCTTTTGCAAAATCTGTTTCATCGTTTTGCTGTGTGAGGGATATCTACTAATAAAAATAACGATGCGAGTTTGGCGTTGAGTACGGTACGTACCCGTGTGATGAGATCCTTTGCCGCCAAAGACACGATAGGAGGTACGTATAGCTGGCCTTCGGTAATAAGCTCGATGGTCTCATTTTGCCCCTACAGTAACGAACGTTAACTTATCAATAAGATACGAAACATTATCGTAAGGTACAACAACGTACTGGTGCTTCAAACGGAGGCTTCCCTACCAGAAGCTCGTACATAATGACTCCAACGGCCCAAATATCCACCGATTTGTCGTATTTCTCGCCCTATGTCACCAATATCCAAAATTCCAAGTCAAAAATTAACAATTGATGCAGTACGCAATGGACATTTCAGCGCACTCGAATCATCTCCGGTGATAAGTAGTCCAGAGTACCGCACAGGGTATCACGCCGAGTGCTAAAAGACAGAAAAAGCGAATCAATCGCTTGAGGAGATATCAACAAGAAAGAAAACGTCAATCACGTACGCCGCCGTCACATTAGCAGATGACCAGCCAAAATCGGCAAGTTGGATTGTACCCTGGACGACAATATGCACAAGCAAAATCAGCAACAACAAACAAGGTAAGAACATCTCACAGCGCAAAACAAACCTCATCAGATAAAAGAAGGTTCTCAGGTTTAATATCGCGATGGATTACGTGTTGATGATGACACGACTCCAATGCGCTGAAACAAACGACATTAACACAACTTACAAATGCATTTGCAACATCACCACCTAGGCAAGTCATTACTTACCTGACAAGCTGGGCGGTGTATAGCATGGCTTGGCGTTCAGGGAATCTAAACAAAAATACAGCAGATATTTCAGATCCAGCAAATTGGCAAGGAATCAGGCAAGCGTACCGCCGTCCGGGCATGGAGCGCATTTTCTTGAAAAGGTCACCACCTCCTGCATACTTTAAAACCAAGTAGACTGGCAACAGTCAAAAAAGTGTCAATTCAAAGAAAATGGCAAATGACTTAACACACCATATCCCACCTCGTGTAGCATCCTGAAAGGTGGCATACAATGGCAGAATGTTTTCATGTCGAATGCGTGAGTGAATCTCAACTTCTTTACGCAGCTGGTGGGCCACACCTGCAGCTTTCAGCTGCTCCTTTACCAGCACTTTCAGTGCCACAACCGTCAGTGACGTTTTCTCACGCGCAAGGTACACCTGACCAAACTTTCCAGTTCCCAGCTCGCGTCCAATCTCAAAATCGTCCAAGCTCCACGCTTTTGGAAACTCATTCTGTTCTTCCTGCTCTTGTTGATCATTTTCCAGTTGATCTTCGCAGTCCATCATTTCAACAGGGGTTCGTGGCGGAGTAGCCTGTTCTACAAGACGCTGCTGCGTCCTAGTGGCAGTGTATCGAGAGTGAAACCCCAAACTCGACTGGAATTTGTTAGATGTACCAGCACATAAAGACGTACTAGGCATAGAACTTGCTGCTGAAGCTGATACAGATGACTGGAATCTGTTTGTACCACTACCGTATGTCGATTTTTTCGTCGGTGCGGACGGGATTCTCGAAACTTGATGTCTGCCAATAGTGCTACTGGCGGTCGGTCGAGCATACGATGGCATTGTTGACCCATTTGAAGAAGAAGGTGTCAATCTTGATGTCGTTCGATGTGCCAGTGACGAGGCCGTCGGCGCCATCAAGCGGCCTGCGCATATACAAAACACACAAAGCGTATTAGTGTCCGCTCCAATAGTACCCCTAGCATTATATTGGTATAACGCACTTATAGCAGAAGGTCGGTAAGTACCGGTTGGGCGCTCACGCAGTGCTTGTCGGTTCTGGCCAAAGCTCGACGACGCCGTGGGAGGCGCAGGGGACGCACGATAGACCCGTCCAGATGTAGCAGATACGTCCTTCATATCAACATCAAAAGAACTTAGAGCAGGTTCACTTCGACTGAAGTTAGGACGGCGATTCTCGTCAGGTTTGAGGCGATAGGAATTGGCGCCAAAGCGCGAGTCTGCGGCACTTGGCCGGCTGTACATTTCTGCGTCGTTCGACTGTCAATTTGTGAAATAAAAACGCATTAGAAATTGACGTTTTCGAATGACTTATCGTCACATTTTGATCCTCAGAACACAAATATTTACGTTACAAGGTGCTATCATTTCGTAGCAGTCATTTAACAAATGTTAAATTGCGATGGTACATTGTCGCATCCAGCAACGCCTTTTTGTTTTATTTGGTAATAGAGGTTTTGCATAATTACCTTTATTTTATAATATTACCAATATTAACAATGATGATAGCCAAAATATTGTAAGTCCAATAATATTTGCTGTATGAAAGATCAAAGGTTTCTATACCGGCGCACCGTTGACACGCATAAGAAAGCGAAGACAACGAGTGACTATTTCAAATTTGACCCAAATATTGCCCAAGTTATAAAGGCAAAGAAAGTATACCCAACATCCAAGTATTCCTAGCCTATCGTCCTCTCTGCATGAGCGTGGACGCAGAGGCATTGGTCCAACTGGCAGCAACGGGACTGGCTGGCATTTTTGCTGGGGCATCCATCTACATCAGTGTTGCTCAGCACCCGGCACTCATGGAGACGGATGCGCTCGTGTTCCAGGCCCCTTTTTTTCGTCGGATGTATTTTTATGCGGCACGAATGCAGGGTCCCATGGCAGTAGGTAGTGGATTTAGTGCGCTGCTCGTTTCTTTGTTGCAGAAGCAGCGAGGACCACACGCCGGTATGCCGAAGCTCTGGCTTACAAGTGGCTGTCTCATTGGTAGCGTTGTACCCTTTACTGCACTAAAGATGTTGGCGCTGAATTACAAGCTTGTTGACTCGAAGCGATGTGTACATCGTGGTCAATTATGGATGCAAGAGATGCTACGGAGGTGGGGAAAGTTGCATGCAGTACGTGCTGGTGCGAGTGCACTAGCATTTTCAGGAATGTTGGTGGCGATGGCGTGTGGAGGAGATCGAACACCGGCGTTAGTTTGAAAGCTACATGAGAAACAGAGACAATGAAGAGAAGAGAGGACCAGGGATTGGAGACAAGGAGGATAGGTAGAAGAAGATGCATATTATTTTATTGGCTAGGAAGGGCGTAGATTCTGGTTTGTGAATACCAGTAATGACTTGATTATATAAAAGTGTGTTATAGTAAGGCAACGAGAGACAGGTAGTCGTTGCTCATTACTTTGACAAGCATGAGAAACATTATACAATTTGTAAAAGAAGAATGGAGCTGATCACACGTCGCAGATTGCACTTCAACTGGGAAAAGACAACTAACTACTAACTTAACTCAAGAAATACTAAAGCTGTAAGCCTCGTGAATAAAGTAACTACAGCTACAACTTGATCCTTCATCAATACGAAACACTACTTGGAAAATAACCAAAGCGTGAAACAAGTAGCAATTGAGCTTTTTGAACTTCCACGCTTTAAGCAAACCAGATACACTCTAGTTAGTGTCCATGGTGAGTTAATTCCAGTTTCGTTGATTGAAAATTGCTGTTCAATCGGTCAGTCTCTATTGACTCTTGTTATCTTGTTGTCCTTTCTCCGCTTTTGAATGTGTTCATTCAGTGGGTTGTAAACAAGCTTCACTACTTACAAGAACTCTTTGTTAAGAACGTCCGACGTCTACTGTATTTGCTGTCGTCAAGTACCTGTAAGGTGCAAGCCGAAATTGTAGCTTTACTACAAAAGTACTACAGCATCCTGTTTGAAGACACACCCAGTAGAATATACAAAGCCATGGTCGACTTCAACAGGTGGCTCACAGAAGTGTTTGCGGATACACAGTCAGATTGCATCGAGTGGGGCCCATCGTATGGTGGGCACCCCAGCCTTGCTTTAGACGAGCAGCCACGTCACAATACAGCGCTTGATTCAACTCTTGCTTTCGACAATGCATCCACCATCCAGCTGCTTCGAGCAGTATGTGAATACTATATGATCCGTTGCAACCACCTCCAAACAACAAACCAAGATCTTGAGACACAACAAGTTGAATTGAAGGCCCAACTGAAGGAAGCACTGATCCGTGCATTTGAATCACAGCAGGCCTTGGACCGCGAGCGAGAGGTATTGGCGCTGCAATCTCGACGTTTAGTGATGCGTCCACAGCTCAGATCACGACAGAGATTGAGCAATGAGCACCCCAAGAGTCTGCACGACCAGATCACAAGTGCGTTTACTACACTGGACACTATCAATAGGGCACCACGGACGGATACCGAAGAAACACCGATTGGGGAGTCAAATGAAGCGATTGATTCGAAACAAGATTGCAAAGTCGACGAAGATGTAGCTGAATGCGAAAGCATTGAACTGGGAGGAGCAGACCTTGATAACCTAGAAGAATCCTTGCTCCCGGGACCCAGCAAAAATATTTATGCAGAACAAGAAACCTTACAGTTGTCGGTGGTGCAGCTAGATTCGGAGCCTGCAACTTCTTCCGTTGACATGCGTGAACCAACTTCCATCTCCTCAGATTCGGACTATGAACAGCTTACCAAGTTGCGCACAGATCAAGGAAGCAGTGATAGTTGGTACCGCCAGGCATTGCGCACGCTGAAGGAAGCTCGCAAACGACGTTTCAAACAAACCTCTGCTACTGTTGAACCATCTCTTGTGTCCAAGTTTACAGTGAGTGCGGTTTGCAAAGAAGCCAAAGCTCAAGAATTTACACAGCTTGTCTTCACTCGAGATCCTGCCACAGATGGTGACGATTCAATGTGGTACCGCAAAGCACTGCAACATCTTAAAAGAGAGCGCACGCAACGCCTGAGCCTCCAGGATCGAGCTGAATCCTTTAATTCCGCTATTTCTATCGTTGACTAGCTGTTACGCAACGCAATATGAACATTCTTTCTAAGTACTTTCAATTTCTAGTGCCATTGTTTTATTAATTGGTCCTGTGCACCAAACATTATACTCGCAATGCATTCCTGGCGCTTGTCCTGATTGCACCAAACATTATACTTGCAATGCATTCCTGGTTTAGTAATCTGTTGCTTGTCCTGATTGCACATTTCAAACTTGCAAGGTCCACAACGCACACAAAACTGACAACAAACGGCGTGAGTCTTTATACTGTTTGTTGGTGTTCTGCCACATATTGCTTAACATCTGATTCACGCTTTCCTCACGAAACAACAAGCGAAATCTATTTGGTCTTCGGAGTGATTTTCGAGTGGCCACTTTGCTCGTCCGTCGTGTCTTCATGCTTCTTAGCAGCAGCACTGCCGAATATGGCACCGCCAAAGGGCAGAAGTGGCATGACTTTGTCATAAAATTGCCACCGCACACGATCTACAAGTCCCTCGACTGAGTCCAGCGCAGGTCTTACGTCAAGATAAACACTCAACGGACGACCAGGTTCGGGTTGACCTGAGTAAAAATCGATTACGTAGCGCACCTCTTTGCCGTCTCGATCCACAACCCAATCGTGTCGGTCAAATGGCAGCACAGACCAGCCCATAATGTTCATAATCTTGGCCTTGGGACTATATTCGGTCGGTTTGCCCATAAACTTCTTCAATTTAACGGGCTCTTTTGCTCTATAATTCCGATACAACCAAGAAAACATATCGTGTCAAATAACGTCAGCAAAGTACCAAGAACAATTACTTACGGATGAAACCTCTCCCATTTCAATACTTCCTTCCAACTCTGTTCGTTTACCGCATTGTGAATCGCTACAAGGGTCTTCATCTGTTGTGCATCTGGTGTCCAGCCCTTGCGCTTCATGGCCTTGAAATACATTTCCTCACTTGGGTACTCCCACTTGTCCTTATTGGATTCTGATTGGTGATCTGGTGTAATATATCCTTTAGGAATTGAGGAGACTGCACGCGCTTGTGATAGCTGTACGGCCTCTGTAGACCCTCGTACGATAAAGCCCGAAGCTTCATTAGTTACGCGCATCATCTCAGCGCTAAGACCCAAGTCCACTCCATCATCAACAGGGCACGCAGCATTTTTCTTGCTCTTGTTCTTAATCTGATCCACGGGACATCCCTTTGCTGGCGTCTTGTGTTTTGGCTGTGGACAAGCCGCAGCAGCAGAATTTACGTCGGCTGTCATGACTGAAGATAACTGAAGAAAAATAATACTGGTCACAAATACTATGTAAAATGCATGGTAATTTATTTATAGCTTCGCTATAGTTTACTGTAGTAAGAGCCTATAATATTTAGAAATATAGACATTACAATGTAGCTATGATGATTCTTCACTCACTATCTCTCGATGGCTTGTCTACCTGCTTCTTGTGCTTCTTGTTGCTACGTTTTAGCTGCTCCTGGCGCTTCCTCTTGCGAGCGTATACCTTGTCATCGAATCCGCGCTCAGTCAGCTTCATTTTGGCAATACGCGAGGCGGTAGTCACGTCATTCAGCAGTTTGAGCACCTTTTTCTCGGGTGTTTCTGACTCATAGTCATCCATCTTCTTACCAACCTTTGCTTCGATATTTTGTAATAGCTCAATATCGTGCTGTGTCACCAGAGAAATGGCCTGACCATTGCGTCCGGCACGGGCAGTACGGCCCACTCGGTGAATATAGTCATCGGCGTCGCGCGGCAAGTCAAAGTTTATCACGATGTCGACCTCGGGGATATCCAAACCACGACTCGCGACATCAGTGCTGATGAGGATGTGACTAAGGCCACTTTTAAACTTGCCCAGCGCTGCCAAACGCCGATTCTGTGACATCATCGAGTGCAGCGTCACGCATTTGGTGCCCAGTTCGTTGCCAATTTCTCCTACCAGTTCGCACATCTTGCACGTGGACACAAAGATCATCATGGACCTAAGCCGACGCTTCGATGAGGATGTTGCGGTCTCTAGCAACTTCCCCCAATCCTGGTCGTGTTTTTTCTTGCGAACATTACCCTCGAACGACTGGCGAGATTCCTGATTCTTTTCCTCATTTTCCTCGTTCAGGTCAAGTATCTTCATCAGATACATGAGGTAGGTCATCTTAACCTGCGCCGGGATGATTAAATAAAATTGTTGAAGAGTTGCCACCGTCTTGACGCTGGGTGTCGCATCGAAGCGGAATGCATTATTTGATAGCGCCGTCTGCTCCAATCTGTCCAAATTTGCTGTCATCGTGGCAGAAAACAGCAATGTTTGTCGCTTGGCCGGCAGCTTGTCGAAAATAAAGCTTAGATCCTTGGCAAACGTCACGTCTAGTAGCCTGTCAGCCTCGTCTAGAACCAAGTACTTGACCAAAGAAACATTAGGCGGCTCTGTACGCATCAAGTGATCCCGGAATCGTCCAGGCGTGGCCACAATAATGTGCGGACGCTGCTGCAGCACCAGCGATTGCTTGAGCATGTCCACACCGCCAACAATCACGGCACAGCGCACCGCCATTGAGCTGCCAAAGGCATTGAACTGATCTGCAATCTGAAACGCCAGCTCTCGAGTCGGCGTCAATACAAGCGCATAAGGACCATACGGATCTTTGCTCAGCGTGTGCAGGATCGGTAGTGCAAAGGCCGCCGTCTTACCGCTACCAGTTTGGGCACAACCAATAACGTCACGTCCAGACAGGATTGGAGGGATACAATGCACCTGCACTGGTGTAGGATGACGAATACCCAGCAACTCGCAACGCTTGACTAGCCATGGATCCACGCCAAGGTTCAGGAACGAGATGAGCACGTGAAACGACGAGTCGGCATTTGCCACCAGCACTTTGTCATTTATAGACGTTTGTTCAGCGCTGGTACTTTCATTCGAATCCGAGTCAAATGACACTGTAGGGAGCGCCCGTCGACGTTTACTAAAGAGAACGCTCATACTTGTGTCTTTCAGACCAGTCAAAATACACTGTCAATTTTTTATGTCACTACGTTGTCCTTCTTTTATGTCATTATTTTCAGACGAAAAGTGGTCATTTCTATGTGCTTCATGCCAAGCTACAGGCGTTATTTTTTGACTGATTCATCATGATCGCAACAGTCCGACATCGAGCCGAGATGAAATGTCCCGGAGTGATTATTTACACTAAATAAGGCATTGCACATTGTGCGTAACAAGGCCCCTTGGTCCATATCACGCAGGTGGCGGGATCCTGTCATCATGTTAGGGAAAAAGAATGACACCTTGAGCGCCGGTATTCGATACTGGTGACGGACGACCTTCGATGCGTCCGACGTTCAATAAGACGTTGTCTTGAATTCAGAGGGCAGCACCGTCCCTACATGCATTCCAGACTGTATGCATTGAACTTAGAGTGTCGGGTAGCGATGCAAAACAGCGTAAATCCAGTCAATAATTTGGCCGGGTCGCTCGCTACCTCTATTTGTTTTTTGCACCAGCGCAGATCGACGAACAGTTTGTCGCCATATAAATCATGCCTTGTCACTTTACAATTTGTTGCAAACAGCACAACTTGTATCCGCTTTCACTTTATCTGCGATGGCGATACTTATGCTGCTCTTCATCGTTTTCACGGCGCTTCAAGCTGTCATGGGAATCGAGTATACTGACAAAGGTGTTGCCGTTGTTGGTACGACCGAATCCTTGAACGTGGACGTTACGGCTGGAGTTTCTCGAGAAGATTTAATTGCTTACGAGCTCGCATCATACATCGCCGCCCACTTTACCAAATTTAGTCTGCCGGATGAGGATTCCGTGGTGATCAGCTCCATTAACATCAATTTCACTCTCTCACACACCTACACCGGCCAAGGTCGTGATTCGAGCGGAGCATTTATCGCCAGTTTCATCCCAGGCAGCTCCGTCACCGTCACTTATAAGCCCGTCGGGGTGGCTGCTGTAGGCCAAGGATACCGCATTACGGGGTTCTCCCGTGGATACCCGACTATGCGCCCTGAGACGGTCTGTGGCAACGGAGATCAGTCTCTACCTGCCAAATGCTACATTCTAGGCTCGAATATGTCCAAAGACCTACCTGAAGCTTATCAGAAGTATCAAGCTGTCGCTCGTATGCTAATCAATGGCACTTATCTATGCACAGGTTGGCTTGGAGGCAGCAAGGGCCATCTGTTCACAAATAAACATTGATTCGTGCGAGAGGATTGGGCGCTCTCAACAGATGTAGAGTTTGTTGCTGAGAGCTCCTCGTGCACCGACCAGTAGAGAGACTTGGTTGTCGAGGAAAACTTGTGGCGACGACTTCGACGTATATCACTGGAAGCGACGATATCGATTATGCGGTAGTACAGCTGCCGGCCTGCACTGATCTCTCGCCATACGGGTATCTCCAGCTACGCGAGTCTGGACCGGTAGTGAACGAGTCGATCTACGTACCGCAACATCCGGACGGGTATGCGAAACGCATTGTAAGCACTGTTGATGCTGGGGACGATACAACAATTCGCAGTATCGGTGAAGATGTAGATTGCGGAACGGACCAAGTAGGCTACGACGCAGATACAAAAGGAGGTTCGTCAGGCTCGCCGCTGATTGCTTCTAGCGATAGCTTGGTGGTTGCAATTCATCATTGTGGCGAATGCATGAACACTGCCATTGACGTGCGTACGGTTCTGATCGACTTGGCAGAGAAGAATATCACGATCAAGAATCTCGTGCCGGCGGAAGATATGGGTCAAAGCAGTCAGCCCTTGTACGCCCAGACGTCGTGCACGACTAAATTTCGAAAAAACGTCACTTGCACAGGACAGAACCAAAACACGATGATGTGTGGACATACAAGGAAGCAAGGGTCAGTCGACACAAGCTTAGCGACGACAACTTCAAACAATATGACGATTACAACAGACGCATCGACGGCAACGGCTTCAGACACTTTGAGCGCCGCAGTAGTTGCTTCAAACGTAACATCATTTCCGACATTAGCAACCGCAACAAGCTTGCATACCTTGTTACCACTAGCTAAGGCATTGGCATTGCCGACGTTTACGAAAGCATCGTCAACTTCAACAACAACAGCAGCAACGTTGAGAGTTACGACTGTATTAACGTCTGTCTAAGTGGTGGCATCGACACTATCACAAAGATGACAAAGGTTTATCAAACGCAACGAACGCGCCTTTAGTTGAGCACAGCCAAGCCGAGTATCTCCACGAGCACGACAATGACGACGTCAACAATCACTACACTTACGACCACCTCAACTCCACTGCCTGAGAGAAGAGCGGGAAGGTTAAGTTTGCTTCCCACATCCTTAATGAAACGAGGTTAAGAGTGACAGCAGTAACGTACAAGCTCCGACAGAGTCCTATGCGACGGCGGTCCTGTGATGGTGAGTGAAGAATACGATTTAGTTATGGTGTGACTGATGCCTTGCCAGTGTAAACTAAAGAAATAGTGTATTGACAAGCAAGTATGAGGAAATAAACACTTCTCCTTTCTCGCTGTACATTTCTTGTTTAGAAGGTTATGAGCCCAATGTTTGATACCATCGCCACGAGTTAACCACGCATAGTGAAAGCAGGTAACGCATTTATGTCTAACGCAAGTGTGACATTGAGTCCGTGTCATTGAGCGAGCTATTTCTCTTAGTTATTACACCACTCTCTATGTACCGCTTAACCCCAATACCAAGCATTTGGTCAACGCGCAACGTCTAGCGCTGTGTAAAGAAGGTGTCAAGCACGTAAATGGAGCTCGGGCGGGTGTGATTAACTACCCAGCGCTGCTGGAAGCTGTCGAGAACGGCAAGGTTGCAGGTATGGCCTTTGATGTCAACATGACGTCGACTGCGTCGGAGACTTAGAAGCAACTCGTGAGTCACGAGAATGTGATTGTGACACCGCACATTGGTGCGCTGACTACCGATGAACAAACGAAAGTAGCGCGTGACTTGGCTTACAAGGTAAACGACGCGCTAGCAGGCAAGTCTTTTAAGGGTGTGCTTAACGCGCCTAACATCAATTTTGGCAAGCGCAAGGAGTTCATGCCTTTACTGTCACTTGCCGAAAAGCTTGGCAGCATGCAGGCGCAGCTGCTGGACGACAGTCGTCTCAAGCGCGTACTTGTCATTGCGGAGGGACCCAAGGTCACATCTCAAGTGGCGTTCGACGGTTCCAAGATGCATGTGGAACGCAGGAACTCGTGAGCTCTTGGAACAGCTGGTAAAGGGCGTGATGAAGGGGTCGCTATCGCACATGATGGAGGAGGAGGTGACGTTTGCAAACGCGAAACAGCTTGCTGACGTCATGGGCATCCAAACTGTGGAGCACAAGCACGACGAAGCGTCTGGCAGCAGCTTCTCAGACCTCAGACCAACTTGCTGTTATCTTTGAGAAGGAGGACGATATGTCGAAGATCACGGGCACGGTGTTTGGCAAGAACCAGCTGCGTTTGTGTCTTTCGACGATCTTCCCATGGATGCCATTCCGAGTGGCTCGATGCTGGTGTTTAACAACACGGATCAGCCTGGTGTGCTGCGCAAGGTGACGTCGGTGCTAGCAAAGCACAAGATTAATATTGGCTGCTTTGGTCTGGCACCTGAATAACTTGGCACCGCTGCTGTTGCGTGCTTAATGTAGACGAGGCCATTCCAGACGCAGTTGTGGCGGAGCTTTAAGAACTAGGCATGCTCACCAACCTTCGCCGCGTGAACCTGCTCGAGCTGGACACGGCTGTCTCTGGTGGTATATGGGAGAAGTTTCTCAAACCGAGCACGAACTCTGTTGTGAACGAAATAGATATCGTGGAGACAGAGGCTGAACTGGAGATCATGCGTCACCGTAAACCACGCATAAAACCGGCATCGCCAAATTTTGACTCGGGACCTTGCAAGGAGCGCCCGGGATTTTCTCTTGCTTCAATTCCTGACATTGTTCTGGGCCGTAGCCATCGTTCTAAGTTGGGCAAGGGTTTGCTTGAGGAAGTCATTGTGCGCTCAAAGAAGATTCTGAAGCTACCGGAGGATTACCATCTTGGAATCGTGCCAGCCTCGGACACTGGTGCATTTGAGATGGCCATGTGGTGTATGCTGGGGGAGCGTCCTGTGGATGTATGCTACTGGGAATCATTCGGCAAGCAGTGGTTTAAGGATGTTACTACCGAGCTCAAGCTTGAAAATGTTCGCGAGTTTGGCGCGCCGTTCGGCCAGATTTCAGACTTTTCTCAAGTGAATTGTGACCACGACGTGTTGTTCACGTGGAATGGTACTACTAGTGGTGTCCGTGTTCCCAACGCTGACTGGATTCCGGACGACCGCAAGGGTCTGATCTTTAATGATGCTACGTCGGCTGCGTGTGCCATGGATATTCCATGGAACAAGATTGATGTGTGTACGTTCAGTTGGCAGAAGGTGCTTGGCGGTGAAGGTGGTCACGACGTTATAATTTTGAGTCCACGCGCTGTGGTGCGTTTGGAGTCGTTTGTGCCGGAGAACCGCCCAATTCCTAAGATCTTTTGCATGACTAATGCGAGCACAGTCAAGCTCCTAAAGAGCATTTTCGAGGGTAGCACCATCAACACGCCGTCGATGCTGTGTGTCGAGGATTATCTTGACGCTCTGCGTTGGGCTGAGAGCGTGGGTGGCCAGGACGGACTGATTGCGATTTCGCAGCGCAACTTGAAGGTGCTCGAAGTCTTTGCAACCGAGAACTCGAGGTGGTTCAAGTTTCTCGCGACCAACAAGGAGATCCGCTCCAGCACGTCCGTTTGCCTGCTGATTGATGGTATGTCAAAGCATCATGTGAAGGAGATGCAGGTGCTGCTGGAGCGAGAACAAGTCGCATACGACGTAGGCTCCTACCGCGATGCTCCACCTGGACTGCGTATCTGGTGTGTCGTCACGATAAAGACCAAGGCTTTGGAGGCTCTGCTACCGTGGATCAAATGGGCGTACCTTGAAGTGAAAAGTGCTCGGGATGCCAAGACGGAGTATATAGATAGATGAGCTCCTATTTTGCCAATCGCGGACTGAGAATGGAGGTTGTACGCCATACATTGTCATTTACGCTTGTCAAAGTGGCCCTTGGTAGAAAAATGATGACAGTCATTAATACTTGCCTTTATTACGACTCGGAAGTTGAATGACTTTCTAGTCGTAAAATTCGAGTTTAGTACGCGTAGCTGCATCTCGTTCTTTTTTTCTGGTCCATAAAGCGGCTACTAGCGCTTTGCTGCTTTTGTAGTGTGTGCAGTTCTTCTTCCTTCAGCTTCAGGTCTCGTGACAGCTTTGCCAGTCGCCCATTTTCGCCGGGCGTATCTCCTCGTCTATCTTCATTTCGACTGCTGGATCTCCACAAGGTGATGATAATGCACCTGGGCAGTGTGCATCTGATCCAGCATGTCAGCCATCTTTTGCTTGTAAAAGCTTCTCACCCGATCGTTGTTTTCTTGAGCCTAGCAGCCATTTTGCACCAGTTGCTCCTCCAAGTACATGTCATGAGCAAGATCCTGCACCGATTTACCAAGGTGACGTTGATGGCGCCGAAATACACGTATACGATGAGTGTCCTCTTGATTGACCTCCTTGACTTCCACACCGTCTGCAAAACCATTGCCGTCTCTCTTTCCTTCTCTGTCACGCAAGCAATATGACTTGCTATCGTTATTGATGATTTTGAATATTGTCATGAAATTACAAACGAAACGGAAAGCATTTGTAGCCGAGCTACTGTAGCTACGCTACTTATGCACTATGTGCCGAAGAAGTAGTCAGACTACTGTAGCAAAGCTACGTATGCACTATGTGCAGAGGAAGACAAGCTCTGAGAGCTGCTACGTCTTAGGGTGCTTAACCCTACTAGGCTATCTCGTAAGCTTGTGCCTATCGATAATAACAATCGCGTCTCAGTGAGACTAGTATCAAAGAAACTGATTCCTCAGGAGGAATAGAAAGTTCAAGCAGTGATGCTTGTAGAGCAGGTTTGAAACTGATTTATGCTTATGTTTATCTTCTAACACTAAATATAGAAGCACCTATCCTATACTTAGTGCTAATCACTATTACTGGCTCTTATCCTTTTATTATTATGCAGATATGCAAAGTCACTATACTTTAAAAAAGTATAGTGACCACGTGGCTCTCTGCCACGATGTGACCCTTCGTACTTCAGGTACGGACGGTCACATCACCTACTGTTGTACCCAAGGTACAGCCACACCACATTGGTGTGGCAGGTGTGTATGTAAAATACACACCTTCGTGTAACGTCGCTACACCCTCCCCCACCAATCCGTGGGACCCGACGTACCCACGAATTTGCGCACTTAATTGAAGGCATCGATTTCATTTTCTTCTCATTTTGCTGCCTCGCAATAAGTGCTTGCACTTGCGTCTAAAGCTCCTGTGTTCTTAACACTTACTCTTTGAGCACCCGTGCATTGCACACACGCCTTATAAGCATCCTTGTGTTACGACACTCGCTCTTTGAGCATATAGTGCATCGCACTCACGCTAAAGCATTAAGTGTTACGACACTTGCTTATAAGCGCTAAGTGCCAAGCACTGGTATTATTAATCCCTTTTTGTCCCCCCGTGCTCGCAACCCTTGCTTTTAAGCAATATAGTGTTCACAACACTTGCTTTAAGAATTTGAGCATATAAGTGTGTAACACTTGCTCACAAAGCACCGTAATGTTAACACTAGCTCATAATGCACATTATTGTCGAACACTAGCTACAATGCATATAGTGTCTAACACTAGCTTATAAAGCACCTAAGTGCTCAACACTTGCTTATAAGGCACATTTTCGCTTCACTTTAGCGTATAAGCACTATAGCATCTAACAGTAGCTCATAAAGCACCATAGTGTATAACACTAGCTTATAAAGCACCATAGTGTATAAAACTAGCTTATAAAGCACCATAGTGTATAACACTAGCTTATCAAGCACCTAAGTGTACAACACTTGCTTATAAAGCACATTTTCGCTAAACACTTGCTTTTAAAGCACCTTCGTGTTCAGCACTTGCTTAAGAAGCACCTAAATGTTTAACACGTGCTTGTAACGCACCTTAGTGTTGAACACTTGCTTCTATAAAGCCTTTAAGTGCTTAAAACACTTGCTTATATTATTCCAAAGTGTTGTACACTTCTGATAAAGCTTCATAGTGTTTCACACTTGCTTATATAAAGCCCCACAGTGTTACTTTGCTTATAAAGCACAACATTGTTTACTAATTGCTTATATAAAGCCCCAAAGTGTCGTAAACTTGCTTCTTAAGCAGATGATAGTACTTTTCACCCGAGTGAGGTACCAGCAACTGCTTCCCAAGAAGGTCAGAGGTGAAGCCTAACTACTGACCTTGCTTCCACAGCACTTAGTGCTAGGAAGCATCCGACGACTGCTGTCGCCGCTTCTGACCTTCCCGATCAAAAGCTTCAACGACGTCCGGGCAGTCTTGCCGTAGGGGGACCTCGTACTCCCATGAGTCGTACGACTGAGGGTACCCCCTCTACTTTACCAGATACTGGGTGTGGCCCTGATAAAGACGTCGCGCCAATAGACGCTCGACGTGAACTGTTGATGACCCAGCTCATCAGTCAGCGTTGGTGGGGGGTCGGTGACCCATCGATCCATGATCTTTTGGTACGCCTTCAGCGTCCATATGCACCTCCGGTGCTGTGCCTCCCGCCTCCTTCGGCCGGGGATATGGGGACAACACCTCGAAGCTCACCGAGGAAGGGTTGAGATATGGATTTAGTAAGCCCACGTAGAACACAGGATGTGTTCTCATCTTCTTGGGAAGGTTCAGCGTATAGGCTAAACCTTTCTTGCTTATGACCTTGAAAGGTCCAATAAAGCGTGGACGAAACCTTGTTTTATATACCGCAGATGCTGCACGTGTCGGTAAATTCCTAGCGTTTCATAAAACCAAATCTCCCACTTTGTACTCGTGTTCGTGCTTTCTGCCTTTGGGCATCCGCGTGTTCCTTCTGAATATCCTGGCTTTCAGCCATAGCGTCTTTGACGCGACGTAATACGTCAAAACGCGTTGCCAGAAACGCTTCCACCTTCTTGCGCATTGCAACATAGCTGATATCAGCCAAGCCTTTGGCTATCTCTCCCCCCACTAAGCCCTGATGTGGCAGGGGGTAGCGTTAAAGGAACGAGAGGGTTTACCAATCCTTTCACATAGAATGGGGTGAGGCCTGTCGAGGCATGCACCGCGTTGTTCAACGCAAACTCGACCAGAGGAAGCATCGCGCTCCATTGCTTGGGTGTTTCCGCACGAACACTTCGAAGCATATCGCCAATAACGCGGTTGACGCGATCAGTCTGACCATCGGTCTGCGGATGACCCGCCGTGGACATGTACAGTCGAGTGCCGATCACTTTAAAGACGGATGTCCAAAACTTACCCGTAAAACGAGGGTCTCTATCCGCGACGATTGCCACAGGCAATCCGTGTTGTCGAAACACACGATCCAGAAACAGGTTTGCTGTTCCTTCTCCATCAATGGAGTCCAGCAGGCCGCTAGATGAGCCATCTTGCTCAATCGGTCTACAAAGACCACAATTCCAATTTTTCCCCCTGCTTCGCGGGGGGGGCCAAAAAAAAAACCCAAACTAATTAATTTTTCCCCCCCCGGGGAAGGGAAAAAACCAAACAAAGGGGGGGGTTTTTTTTTTTTTTTTTTTTTTTTTTTTTTTGGTGGTTACTTACCCCCTTTTTTTTTTTTAACCAACCAAAAACCCCCTCCACCCGGGCCGTGGTTTTTCTCCCCCCCCCCCCAACAACAAAAAAACAAAAACCCCTCATAAAGTATCTGATACTTGAGGTCCTCATCATGAGGCGCCACAACACATCGCTGGTCATCCAACCCTCTACTATAGTACAACAGACCATCGTTCAGTGCATAACGATGTAATCTCGCACGATTACGTGGTGACAACATCACCTGAGAGTTTTCAAACTTTGCGCTACCCAGCGCCTGCAGAATGGCAACACATGCCTCATCGCGTGCATACGCCACACGGATACGATCCGTTACTGACGAACTCACAACAGTGAGATGAGCAAGCTCATAGTCAGGTCTACGCGATAACGCGTCATCCAAAACATTCTGTTTTCCCGGCTTATACTTCACCTCGAAGGTATACTCCGCGAAAAAGGAAAGCCAACGAGCCATTCTCTACGAGAGATGAGGCGACTGTGTCGCTGTGCGTAACGACGCATGATCGGTATAGATCAAAAACGGCTTTGAGCCCAACAGGTGTACCCTGAACTTAACAAGGGCATTCTTCATCGCAAGTAGCTCCTTGTCATGAACTGGATAGTTCTTCTCTGCAGCTTTCAGCTGACGAGAATCAAACGCGATGACGCGTTCTCGACCCTCAGAGTCAACTTGCAAGAGTGCACTGCCAATGGAAAAGTCCGAAGCATCACATACGACGCTAAATGGGCGATCAGGTTCAGTTAGAGCCAAAATTGGTGCCTGAAGGAGGCTCTCCTTAATGGCTTCAAAAGCCTCGTGGTGTTTGGTGTTCCAACACCATTCCACATCCTTTTTAAGGAGATTGGACAATGGCCTAGCCACTTCCACATAGTTGTGGCTATACTTGTGCAAGTAATCTGCCAAGCCCAGCCACTCGCGTAGGTCCTTCTGGTTCCTCGGAACCGGCCAATCCACTATGGCTTTGACCTTAACAGGGTCTACCCGGATTCCTCGCTTCCCAATGAAGCATCCCAAAAAGGGACTCTCTTCCGCACCGAAGATGCATTTGTCACTATTGCCATATACCTTATGCATCCTCATGCAACCGAGCACAGCTCGCAGGTGCTCGATGTGATTCTCCACATCAGTCTTGCCATTTTCGTCTCGACTATGAACGAATATATCGTCAAAGTATGTCTGTGCATACGCCCTATGGGGCCGAAACAACTGCGTCACTAGACGATCGAACATTTCAGGTGCGTTAGACAGCCCTTGGGGCATCACTA